TTGTGATATTGCGTTTCCCATATACGCGTATCGTTCCTTACATAAGGTAAATTTTATAATAAGACATAAAAATTGAGTGCTGGATAAGGTAACATTTGGCAGAGCGCGACAGACATAATCTTATAGCGGCATCTCACTTGGCTATTCGTATTTGCTATTTGTAAAAAAGGCATTAGTCTATTCTTTTCTTTCCTTGTATAGTATGATAAGGACAGACTGATGTCAAGTTTACAAATACCAAGCACGAATAGCCAAGCGAAGAGTCCGCATTACTGTAGGAGATGTATTCGAAATGTTGGATAGATTTAATGGGATGAAAACAGTTTCTGTTGCGCTTCGTGAAACGTTACCTTTACATAAATTTGGCGGCAGCCTAAATCCGAAGATTATGAAAATCTTAGTAACATCGTATTTATTTATTTTAATAGAATACAAATAAAATATATCAGCAATTCGTTAGTTACAATTTTTTGAGATAACAACACTCATTCGCTCGCATATACATCGGAACAACTCAAAATCAATTCGATCAGTTAAACAAAAAAGAGCTGCCTCACATAACTGCAAATCCCCATTTCGGAGCGCCATTCACATAGTTTTACAGGTTTCTCCTTAGTGTTTCAGGACAATCCATGAAAAGGGGGTGCAATACTGCAAATTTTAAACACAATATTCTGCGACTTAACCTTCTGAACGCCGAGCCGGAAACGTTACAATAAAATTCATTCATTGTCGATTTAAATTTTAAGATATTCAACTAGTCCAATTCGTTTCTAGCTTCAGTTTGAAGTATTTCCTACTCGAATTTATTTCGCGTATTATATCGTTCCTGCGACAGAACGATTGGCGTTCAAAAGTTAAAATAGGAGATGTTGGTCAGCTCCTCGATCCCCGTGCGTTTACACGTAGGTTGGGGGCTGGGGCCCGGCGGGGGGCGCGGGGGTCGCTAGTGGGGGGCCGGCGGGGGGGCCCGCGGGGGGCGCGGGGGGCGCGGGGGGAGGCAGCACGCGGGCGCCGGGCACGTACTGACCGATGAACGACCCGTCCTCCGTGAACCGCCCTGCAATCGTGCAATAACGGTTATACGCAACCCAACACGTTCCCTTTTGACGAACTCCGTTGCCGAGTGGTTTCATGGTGTCGCCGACTCGGGAGGTTCCGGGTTCGAATCCTGGTTCGATGTTTGTGTGATGAATACGAGCATTTGTACTCCGGTCATGGATGTTTAATATGTATTTCTATATAAGTATACTTATATATGTACGTTATATGTATGCTATCCGTTACCCTAGCATCCCGTAACACAAGGCTTACAGTGCTCACTTTGGGGCTAGGCTAATTGGTTTGTGTTGGAAATATTTATTATTATTATTTATTACTATTCACCACATCACCAGCCTATAAATTTCTCCGCTGCTGGGGCACAGGCCTTCCTTATGGATGGAATATGGAGTGCGGGCCGTGACCTACTACTCGGACCCAGTGTAGATTGTTAGGTGCTAACGACTACAGATGCAGCCGAGACCGACGCGACGGCTTTACGTGCCTTCCAAAGCACGGAGGAGCTCGAGATAGTAAATTTTTGGTCACCCATCCAATGACCGACCCCTACAAAAGTTGGTTAATTTCAACGATCGCAGCCGAACGCGCTAAACACTTGCGCCATCAAGCTCCTCACTATTCATACCTGTTGCTATACCTTTTGCACCCTTTCCACCTTATTGAAAAACGTGGACTAAAGTTTGTCTTGGTTTAAAACTAATTCTATCTCTTTCTAACTTTTAGCACACAAAAGTGACAGGGTCAATTTGAAACCAGGTGTAAATTTAATCAAGTCTTTACTTTTGTAATAAGACGGAACGAGTCGAACATTTTCACATAATAAAATTTAAAAAAAATCCGACAACAGCATAGCAGAGCTGAAATTACCATGAAATGGACTCAAGTAAACTGATATTGGTTTGTAGCCTGTGTATAAATACCGCACTATGAAATCTAATGCTTATTATAATAAACTAGTTACTTGGAAATGATTTCTGCGCTCGAGCTCAATGGCGCAGGTTGTTCTGCTGCGATCGTTGAAGTTAAGCAACTTTCGCAGTGGTCGGTCATTGGATGGGTGACCAAAAATCTTCTATCTCGAGTTCCTCCGTGCTTCGGAAGGCACATTAAGCCGTTGGTCCCGGCTGCATCTGCAGTCGTTAACACCCGCCAATCCGCACTGGGACCGTGTGGTGAGTCATGACCCAATCTCCCTATTATGTCCATAGGGAAGGCCTGTGCCCCAGCAGCGGGGACATTAATAGGCTGATGATGATGATATGTCATAACATAACGATTAACTAAATCTGGCAGTAGTATAAGTGGTATAAGTATTATGATAAGGTCATACTCTAAAGAATAAAAATGAGAAAATCTTGTCCAATTCAATTTTAAGTTAAGAGGAGCATGCCAAAATTAGAAACTTAATTTCTTAATATAACATGACACTAGCATGTCAACCCTGTAACAGATATAATGAATGGTGGGATTCTCTGAATTCTCAAATAATATTATAATGCGATTCAAATAAGAATAGGAAAGCCAATGACCTCCATCTGTCAAATGTCGCTTGAAAAGTACGGTTTGCACAAAAATCTTGGGACCTTTTTTAGCACTCAGCTAATTCTAGACTTAAAACCAAACATTTGTAAACAAACAATAACAAATATTGATAATTAATATTGTTTAATATTTTTTTTCATTTATTGAGCTTTGCCTATGACTGGTTGATAACCAAATGTCACTTTAAGTTGCGTTCATAAACTCGTTTTAAAACTTTCGTTACCATAAAGGATGCATGTTCGAATATGACCAAGTTATAGTGCATCATTATTCATAACTACTCCGGCTGTAATGCAGAGATGAGCGGAATTGAAGAGCTAGATTCTGATTAAGTTTTTCTCACACAGTCTTAATAAATAAATATTATTAAAAATCGGTTGTTTTTTTTCCTCAGTCTTAGTAAATAAATTATATTAATAAATCTGATGTTTTTTCTCACTTAATGTAAGTAAATGAGTTTTATTAAATAGAAACTTTTTTTTTCTCACTCTACCTGTTTGGTTTGAATTGACAGCAATGACGTCAAAATATGGCGCCCAGTCGGTCCTATTCTTAGTTGAATCGCATTATACAAACTTGTAAAAGAAATTTGAAACCTAATTTAAAAACAAAAGGAAAGTGACAGATTTCAGTAGGTAAGTAATTTATCATATACTTCTGAAACACTAGCTTATTGTTGAAGTCGTTCAAAAAGCAAAAAATATTGAAACATACATGCATAACAAAATAGAAAAAAAAAAAATACATACCTCGTGAACTTAAATATAAGCGTTGCTCGTGCATAGGCGAACGAAAGGAAGGGAGCAAGGAAGAAAATAAGGAACCTTGCCTACACTACGTTATGCATAAAAAACACTAATATAATCATTTATATTAAAAAAGAACAGTGTGTGCATGTTAAAAAAAAATAATCACTCAAAAAGAAAATTCACTCAAAATGATCACTCATAGTTTTTTTACAAACTAAATATTATAATAACAATAACATTCCTCGTGTGTGTGTATGTGTTGTGTCTTAGCAACTAAACTAAATTGTAAATACGTAGAAGAGATTTGAACTGGACGAGTGACAATCGGCTTTATCTAAACTATTATTGCAATAGTGGAATAAAGACCCTGAGCGCCCGGCATAATATAATGCACATCCTACACTGGCAGTAAACGTTTACTAACTAGAAATCTAACCGAGTTCACCACCGCTATTCAAGTGGTATTGCCACAACAAGATATATCAAGTTGGCCAAAATTTTAAATTTTCTCCAATCGATTTTCTGTCTGATTCTGATTGCTGTAAGATTTAGATGCAATTGATTGAAAAAAAAAAAAAATTTTGTGCTAACTTGACGTGTCGTCGCTTTTGTTACATAGCAATAAGAGCTATATTTCTTCGACATGAGCAAAACCACTTGTCCAGGGGGGCAGGGCTCTTACTATCGACTTAAAATGATATTCAAATGCAAATTTCTAGTCGAGGGAAAAGTGATATAAAACATCACTTTCACTTCAACACCTAACGCAAATTACTTTTTAGCGCATTAATAGTAAGGCCCTAGGGTTGCCAGAAAGAAAACGGAATAACGCGATATATATACAAGAAAATAAAGTTCATTGTATATTTTCAAATTGTAACTAGATATGTTTGCGTATTCCAGTTTAATTTTTTTATTGTTGGCAACCCAGCTTTCTTAAATTTATCACTGACATTGGAATAATACTAGCGGGCCGGTTCACCGTCGCGAACGTACCAATCTGATCGGAGAATAATATAGTCTGCGGCGATCGGTTTTCACGTTATCGTATGTGTTTTGAGATATAAAGAGTTCCTTTTATATCTTGTTCAGTACTCGACTTGTTAGTGATGCATTGGCACTTTGTGAAAAACAGCTTGCTACCGAGTAAGCGTGGTCTCAAATATTACTTATCGATAACGCTTTTTTTATGGTTAGTCATTCAAAGGAGCTTCATACATCGTATTTTTTTCATTCATAAATACTTTTAGAACGTATACTAACATCCGTACCGTAAGATCAATACATTTTTAGAGATCCTTAGAAAATTATTGTAATCAAACCCGTGTATTTTTCACAACTTTATAGAATGATCAATAATCTTATAAAGCTTGCTCTTAAAGTGAAAAAAAAAATCTCTTTTAATAACAAATTTATAAAGATAACGATAACGTGTTTAAAACAATACGATTCATTGAGATTGTTTGTCATTGTGAGATTATTAAGACGTGAGAGAGTCTTTTCTGCCTCCTTAGCATGAGTACCACGATATGATAAAGATTTTTATCAACACTTAACCGTTAAGCCAGAAACATATTAACGTGTCGTTTCGTGGCGCGCCAGAAGCACATCGGTTTCATACATTTACTATGGTTAGAGACATATTTACGTGTAGTGTCGTGTAGACGCTCTAACCTCTCTATCTCTTTCTAACCCATGATAAATGTATGAAACCGATGCGCCACGTCACGCCACGACACGTTAATATGTTTCTGGCTTTTAACTCCATTATAGTTAGAGTTAGATGTCGATAAATCTCTTTAACATTACGCGTTTGAACGGTCATGCTAAAAGAGATGCGTGTAGAAAGTCTTTAGGGGGTGGGAAGTAGGATCTGGCGGGAAAAGAACAACCATTTAGACCGGAAATGGGGTATATTGGGACGCGGTAGGGGTGGGGGTATTATACGAGCGTGGCGAAGGCCTGCGAGGCGGAGTCTTGATGCGAGGAGGGCGGCGGGCGCCGCTTGCGGCCGTACTGCCCGATGAACGACCCGTCCTCGTTCATGCCCGCTACGGACGCAACACGACCACGTACAGGACATGCATGCACTCACAGACCCACATCTAACTATATGACGCAAGTGTGTGTACGTAGCGTGCCATAAATCGATATTTATTGAAGTGAGGCTGAAACGATACGAGCATCACACGCGACTATATATATATATGTACGTAAATAACCTAACATTAGGCGGTGCATAAGGCATAGGGGAACGGAGCAGTTCACGCAAAACTCAAATATAAGAAGTTTTACTTCAGATATGTGATGTGTTTTTTCCGTTATTATATATAGGTTTGGCAGGTATCAAAAATGTAGCGAGCTAACCCAGAAGGAACCTATTTAAATAAAACAAGTTTCAACGGGTTAGATGCACTGATTTATTTATTGACGTTTCGCAGCATTTTCAGGTATGCGTCGTCAGAATAATGATTTTTTATTTACTTAGAGCTACCTTCAAAAGACTTTTATTTAGCGTTCAGATATTTCATTAGAAGATTTTAAAATCTTTATTGTCTATGCATGAATTCATTAGTTAATTTAATTAATAAAGTAGTTACTTTATTTAATTCTTTTATACAATTTTGAGTTTATTTGACCCTAACTACCGTAAACTACCACCGGTTCCAAAATTGGGAGACCTTTCTGAGAAGAGCCGGCGAAACAAACTCAGAGAGGCTTTCTATCTCCCTCTTATGTTAAATCATGCAAACAAAAAAAAGAACTAACAGTATCTGTTGGTCCCGCAGTGTGTGCACGGGGTTGGGATTTTATCTGTTGTATAATGGGTTCCCAAGATGGGGATATATACCAACCATCTACCCTATTAAAATTTGGATATTTCTTAATTTCAATAGCTTCGCGTATCATTACAGGAATGAATCGTTGATCAGTTGCAAGGATCTGTGGTTTATCAAATCTAATGTAATGGTTTGGTCCCCCTAATGCATGTTCACACACTGCAGACTTATTTTCACGCCTATGTTTCATAAAAGAAACGTATTTACTATGGCTTTAAAAAGAGTCTAATTTTATGTATTCGGAAACACTAACGAAGGCGGGTATTTACACTCCAGCGCTGTATTTTAATGCTGCATGTCATTGCTACTTGCTATTGTACTTAAAGAATGACAATCGCCATTTCAAAAAAACCTTTGGTAGCTTTCCAATTACAGCATTATAGCGCATTATGCGGCATAATACTTAACGTTGAGTGTTCCAACTACAGCAACGCTTCGCACAATTGAGCACTCTCAAAAGTAATGCTTTCGTGTGATGCGTACAATCGTACCAACTCAGAGACAGAAAATTAACAAGTGTTTCTTCTTTAAGTTGGCATTGATCAAAATGTTTTATTTATATGTTATCGTTAGTAATATTATTTATTATTGAAAAATTATTAAAACCTTCGTTTCATCATAGTTTTTTTTTCAATAATCAAAGTTAATTCAAACTGTGATAAAATTAAATATAAATATGGATGAAGGTACAAACATTGACTTTTTTTACAACACTGAACTTAGCGCACTCTGCTGGTGCATTTGAAAACTAATAAACGTTCCAATTAAGCATCAGCATAATTCGGCATTGTGCGGCACTGAGTCGCATTATGCTCTGTAATTGGAAAGCAACCTTTATCTGTGACTTATCAAGCTGTTAAAATAATTTAATTCCTTCATTTAAAAAGGCAGATGCAGCGTCAAGATGGTTGGTGTGGCAACTGCTGCACCAACTATTTTCGCGTCTGACTTAACGTAAGGTAGGAAAGATCTATTTACCTACCTAGCTATTCAAAAAATAATTGCAACGCGGTGGTGAGCCCTATGATTTTTTATCACTCCTGGGTACTCAATATATGACAAGCTCGGTTTACACAATTGCGTCGTCCATTTCGATGTAGGTCTGTGCATGCGCCAAACAAACGCACACTATCAACAGCACGTGCATTCATTATATAACGCTCACAAATATTTAAGAAAAAAAACGAGAAAAACTTTATAGTGAAGCTGGCACTTCTGATGACTGTTCGTATTTGCTATTTGTAATATGACAGCAGTCTCTTTTTAATATCTTAAAGAGCATGAAATGAATACTCTCGTTTCAAATTTACAAATAGCAAATATGAATAGTATTCGTATTTGCTATTTGTAATATGGCAGCAGACTCCTTTTAATATCTTAAAGAGCATGAAATGAATATTTTGTTTCAAATTTACAAATAGCAAATATGAATAGCCGTGAAGTGCTAGCATTACAGAGAAGGCGAAAACCCAAATATTTCACAAAACTTTAATTGAACTCTATACAATACGCAAGCGGTGTATTTTATAGTTAACTTTGCTAAAATGTCACAGCTGTCACAAAATATTTGAACATTTGGCCGTAAGCCGTCATGATTATGAACCTCGGTTACAGGCTCTAGATTTTACTATACCTTACTTTTTAAGAGTGATTTGATTGACCTAAGGCACATTTGATTTAAAGATTAATTTTTAGACACGTCCTGTTAAATCAAATTCACCCATATTGATTGCATGTAATGAATTTATTTTTCGTTTTAATGTAAGGTGCAAATCATACGGCTTTCTGAATACAGTGAACAACTAAAATCAATCTTTTATGTAATGCGTAACGATATTAAAACCCCTAGATACACCACGGGCGCTTAGTTTCCCAATCAGTTCATAATTTAATCACGCGCGGACCGTTCAAGACTCCATATCAACGATATTAAATACCTTTGATACACCAACACGAACAAAATCGTGGCCGAAACCTGTCCAAAAGGTATATTGGACGATCCACGGAGCTCCGTAAGATGATCGCGTAGTCAAAAACAGCCGCTAAACTCCGTGAAAAAAAAAACTTCGGGTACGTAGAGTGCCGTTTTTCGATAGGTATCCACAATGTTTTTAATATAAGCTATTTACGGGATTGTTACCATGTACCTTGTTTTTAGCGAGTTGGTAGACCGATATGTCTGCCAATAACAGCCTACCCGCAATTACTTCAGTTACTCCGTGATCATGGCGCTTGCAACAGTGCCGAAATATCGGAAACTCGCTAAAAACAAGGTACATGGTAACAATCCCGTAAATAACTTATATATTACTATAATGTTAGTGACCATAAAAATTTAAAACAATATATATAATGTTTGTTAATTTATTCATTTGATACTTTTATTTTTATAATACTTACTACAAACTGATTTAATAGAATAGATATTATTTGTAATATGCAAATGCATTTGACGAGCTTGCATTTCGAACAGTCATTACTCTTTTGAGGTATGCGTTTAAATTAAGACCTTATATACTGTGTATTAGTGGTGACTTAGGCCCGTATTATAGAAAGAATCTCAGCGATTGATCTAGTCTTGAGCATAGTTAGAAAAGGATGTCGCTAAATATAGCACATAGCCGCCATCCCTTTCTAACTGTACTCAAGTATAGATCAACACTTAGTTGTTATTCTGTAATACGGGTCTCAGAATGTTGAAATAATGCCTTTTATTGTGTTTTGCTACGCGATCATCCCACGGCGCTCCGTGGGCTGTCCTTTGCACCTTTTAGACAAGTGTCGGCCACGATTTTGTATCTAAAGTTTTTAATATCGTTTGTAATATTATATATCTTTTAGTTATTTTTGAGAAATTTCTAAAACAAGCTTTACTCACATTGTTAACAATAAACATACGCATTACATAAAAGAATTTCGTTCTTTTAATTTTTCAACATTAAAAATAATAGAACGAATGAAAGTAAATAGAAGTAATAAAAATTTAACACTAAATCAAGAAAAATAATTGCAAAACAATGAACACTACGTCTCAGAATGCAAAAATAGAAAATATGCTAGCATTCCAACAATCGCAACGAAAGTAGCTGTTCTCCTTGGACTTTAGTTCTTGTCATAAAGGAATAGAGTCCAGATCGTCGTGATAAGCAAACGAGTACGTACCAGTTTCACCTTCCCCGTACTCCGCCATCGAGTCGGTGTCGCTCTCGGGGCCGGGTTTGGTGCCGCTGCTCATGGAGTGCCGTGATTTGTTGTCCAACCTGACACAAGCATTAAAATAACGTTTAAGACTTGTTATCCAACCTGACACAATCATTATGATAACGTTGAAGAGTAAGCACACATTGAGCCACAAATCACGGCCACTAATGGCTCAATCAAGCCAGCAGACGCAGCCACTAATCGAAGCTGCTAGTAGTCGCCACAGAGCCACCATTGGCTGCCACAGAGCTAGTGGCTTCGATTAGTGGTTGCGTCTAGTGGCTTGACTGAGTCACTAGTGGCCGCGATTAGTGGTCAATCAAATTCAAAGTTAATGTGCGCTTGATCTTCCCGTTGTATTTATAAACAAGAATTGGACATCACTTTGCTTAAGTAATTGCTTGAACAACATTTTTCATTTCATAGTTAAGAAATATAACACTGTAAGAACTTTCAAAATTAAGAATTCTTAGTCAAATAATCTATCATTACTCAGCTTTCCTACTTAAGAACTTGGTTATATTAGTGATTTATTATATATTAGTATTTATAAAATTTAAATTTATTTTGAAGAATTCTAGTGTACAAATCAATGTACTTTATAAATAAATTTGATTTGATTAGTAATTAAATTAGGTAAATATAAAAGGGAAGCTACGGTACGCTCTTACTTGCGTTAAATAAAATACATGGTCTGACTCGACTTTACTTCAAAAGTTAGCAAATAGGCCATCTAAACTAGGACACAGTATCACAACTCACGGGTGCGTGTACTCGTGGAAGCCGGCGTCGCGGTGCTGATGCCTCATCTCCCGGTGGTGCGCGTGTACATATAGTATCACAACTCACGGGTGCGTGTACTCGTGGAAGCCGGCGTCGCGGTGCTGATGCCTGCCGCAGGCCATCTCCCGGTGGTGCGCGTGTACATATAGTATCACAACTCACGGGTGCGTGTACTCGTGGAAGCCGGCGTCGCGGTGCTGATGCCTCATCTCCCGGTGGTGCGCGTGTACATATAGTATCACAACTCACGGGTGCGTGTACTCGTGGAAGCCGGCGTCGCGGTGCTGATGCCTCATCTCCCGGTGGTGCGCGTGTACATATAGTATCACAACTCACGGGTGCGTGTACTCGTGGAAGCCGGCGTCGCGGTGCTGATGCCTGCCGCAGGCCATCTCCCGGTGGTGCGCGTGTACATATAGTATCACAACTCACGGGTGCGTGTACTCGTGGAAGCCGGCGTCGCGGTGCTGATGCCTGCCGCAGGCCATCTCCCGGTGGTGCGCGTGTACATATAGTATCACAACTCACGGGTGCGTGTACTCGTGGAAGCCGGCGTCGCGGTGCTGATGCCTCATCTCCCGGTGGTGCGCGTGTACATATAGTATCACAACTCACGGGTGCGTGTACTCGTGGAAGCCGGCGTCGCGGTGCTGATGCCTGCCGCAGGCCATCTCCCGGTGGTGCGCGTGTACATATAGTATCACAACTCACGGGTGCGTGTACTCGTGGAAGCCGGCGTCGCGGTGCTGATGCCTGCCGCAGGCCATCTCCCGGTGGTGCGCGTGTACATATAGTATCACAACTCACGGGTGCGTGTACTCGTGGAAGCCGGCGTCGCGGTGCTGATGCCTGCCGCAGGCCATCTCCCGGTGGTGCGCGTGTACATATAGTATCACAACTCACGGGTGCGTGTACTCGTGGAAGCCGGCGTCGCGGTGCTGATGCCTCATCTCCCGGTGGTGCGCGTGTACATATAGTATCACAACTCACGGGTGCGTGTACTCGTGGAAGCCGGCGTCGCGGTGCTGATGCCTGCCGCAGGCCATCTCCCGGTGGTGCGCGTGTACATATAGTATCACAACTCACGGGTGCGTGTACTCGTGGAAGCCGGCGTCGCGGTGCTGATGCCTGCCGCAGGCCATCTCCCGGTGGTGCGCGTGTACATATAGTATCACAACTCACGGGTGCGTGTACTCGTGGAAGCCGGCGTCGCGGTGCTGATGCCTCATCTCCCGGTGGTGCGCGTGTACATATAGTATCACAACTCACGGGTGCGTGTACTCGTGGAAGCCGGCGTCGCGGTGCTGATGCCTCATCTCCCGGTGGTGCGCGTGTACATATAGTATCACAACTCACGGGTGCGTGTACTCGTGGAAGCCGGCGTCGCGGTGCTGATGCCTGCCGCAGGCCATCTCCCGGTGGTGCGCGTGTACATATAGTATCACAACTCACGGGTGCGTGTACTCGTGGAAGCCGGCGTCGCGGTGCTGATGCCTGCCGCAGGCCATCTCCCGGTGGTGCGCGTGTACATATAGTATCACAACTCACGGGTGCGTGTACTCGTGGAAGCCGGCGTCGCGGTGCTGATGCCTGCCGCAGGCCATCTCCCGGTGGTGCGCGTGTACATATAGTATCACAACTCACGGGTGCGTGTACTCGTGGAAGCCGGCGTCGCGGTGCTGATGCCTCATCTCCCGGTGGTGCGCGTGTACATATAGTATCACAACTCACGGGTGCGTGTACTCGTGGAAGCCGGCGTCGCGGTGCTGATGCCTCATCTCCCGGTGGTGCGCGTGTACATATAGTATCACAACTCACGGGTGCGTGTACTCGTGGAAGCCGGCGTCGCGGTGCTGATGCCTGCCGCAGGCCATCTCCCGGTGGTGCGCGTGTACATATAGTATCACAACTCACGGGTGCGTGTACTCGTGGAAGCCGGCGTCGCGGTGCTGATGCCTCATCTCCCGGTGGTGCGCGTGTACATATAGTATCACAACTCACGGGTGCGTGTACTCGTGGAAGCCGGCGTCGCGGTGCTGATGCCTGCCGCAGGCCATCTCCCGGTGGTGCGCGTGTACATATAGTATCACAACTCACGGGTGCGTGTACTCGTGGAAGCCGGCGTCGCGGTGCTGATGCCTGCCGCAGGCCATCTCCCGGTGGTGCGCGTGTACATATAGTATCACAACTCACGGGTGCGTGTACTCGTGGAAGCCGGCGTCGCGGTGCTGATGCCTGCCGCAGGCCATCTCCCGGTGGTGCGCGTGTACATATAGTATCACAACTCACGGGTGCGTGTACTCGTGGAAGCCGGCGTCGCGGTGCTGATGCCTCATCTCCCGGTGGTGCGCGTGTACATATAGTATCACAACTCACGGGTGCGTGTACTCGTGGAAGCCGGCGTCGCGGTGCTGATGCCTGCCGCAGGCCATCTCCCGGTGGTGCGCGTGTACATATAGTATCACAACTCACGGGTGCGTGTACTCGTGGAAGCCGGCGTCGCGGTGCTGATGCCTCATCTCCCGGTGGTGCGCGTGTACATATAGTATCACAACTCACGGGTGCGTGTACTCGTGGAAGCCGGCGTCGCGGTGCTGATGCCTGCCGCAGGCCATCTCCCGGTGGTGCGCGTGTACATATAGTATCACAACTCACGGGTGCGTGTACTCGTGGAAGCCGGCGTCGCGGTGCTGATGCCTGCCGCAGGCCATCTCCCGGTGGTGCGCGTGTACATATAGTATCACAACTCACGGGTGCGTGTACTCGTGGAAGCCGGCGTCGCGGTGCTGATGCCTGCCGCAGGCCATCTCCCGGTGGTGCGCGTGTACATATAGTATCACAACTCACGGGTGCGTGTACTCGTGGAAGCCGGCGTCGCGGTGCTGATGCCTCATCTCCCGGTGGTGCGCGTGTACATATAGTATCACAACTCACGGGTGCGTGTACTCGTGGAAGCCGGCGTCGCGGTGCTGATGCCTCATCTCCCGGTGGTGCGCGTGTACATATAGTATCACAACTCACGGGTGCGTGTACTCGTGGAAGCCGGCGTCGCGGTGCTGATGCCTGCCGCAGGCCATCTCCCGGTGGTGCGCGTGTACATATAGTATCACAACTCACGGGTGCGTGTACTCGTGGAAGCCGGCGTCGCGGTGCTGATGCCTGCCGCAGGCCATCTCCCGGTGGTGCGCGTGTACATATAGTATCACAACTCACGGGTGCGTGTACTCGTGGAAGCCGGCGTCGCGGTGCTGATGCCTCATCTCCCGGTGGTGCGCGTGTACATATAGTATCACAACTCACGGGTGCGTGTACTCGTGGAAGCCGGCGTCGCGGTGCTGATGCCTCATCTCCCGGTGGTGCGCGTGTACATATAGTATCACAACTCACGGGTGCGTGTACTCGTGGAAGCCGGCGTCGCGGTGCTGATGCCTGCCGCAGGCCATCTCCCGGTGGTGCGCGTGTACATATAGTATCACAACTCACGGGTGCGTGTACTCGTGGAAGCCGGCGTCGCGGTGCTGATGCCTGCCGCAGGCCATCTCCCGGTGGTGCGCGTGTACATATAGTATCACAACTCACGGGTGCGTGTACTCGTGGAAGCCGGCGTCGCGGTGCTGATGCCTGCCGCAGGCCATCTCCCGGTGGTGCGCGTGTACATATAGTATCACAACTCACGGGTGCGTGTACTCGTGGAAGCCGGCGTCGCGGTGCTGATGCCTCATCTCCCGGTGGTGCGCGTGTACATATAGTATCACAACTCACGGGTGCGTGTACTCGTGGAAGCCGGCGTCGCGGTGCTGATGCCTCATCTCCCGGTGGTGCGCGTGTACATATAGTATCACAACTCACGGGTGCGTGTACTCGTGGAAGCCGGCGTCGCGGTGCTGATGCCTGCCGCAGGCCATCTCCCGGTGGTGCGCGTGTACATATAGTATCACAACTCACGGGTGCGTGTACTCGTGGAAGCCGGCGTCGCGGTGCTGATGCCTCATCTCCCGGTGGTGCGCGTGTACATATAGTATCACAACTCACGGGTGCGTGTACTCGTGGAAGCCGGCGTCGCGGTGCTGATGCCTCATCTCCCGGTGGTGCGCGTGTACATATAGTATCACAACTCACGGGTGCGTGTACTCGTGGAAGCCGGCGTCGCGGTGCTGATGCCTGCCGCAGGCCATCTCCCGGTGGTGCGCGTGTACATATAGTATCACAACTCACGGGTGCGTGTACTCGTGGAAGCCGGCGTCGCGGTGCTGATGCCTCATCTCCCGGTGGTGCGCGTGTACATATAGTATCACAACTCACGGGTGCGTGTACTCGTGGAAGCCGGCGTCGCGGTGCTGATGCCTCATCTCCCGGTGGTGCGCGTGTACATATAGTATCACAACTCACGGGTGCGTGTACTCGTGGAAGCCGGCGTCGCGGTGCTGATGCCTGCCGCAGGCCATCTCCCGGTGGTGCGCGTGTACATATAGTATCACAACTCACGGGTGCGTGTACTCGTGGAAGCCGGCGTCGCGGTGCTGATGCCTCATCTCCCGGTGGTGCGCGTGTACATATAGTATCACAACTCACGGGTGCGTGTACTCGTGGAAGCCGGCGTCGCGGTGCTGATGCCTGCCGCAGGCCATCTCCCGGTGGTGCGCGTGTACATATAGTATCACAACTCACGGGTGCGTGTACTCGTGGAAGCCGGCGTCGCGGTGCTGATGCCTGCCGCAGGCCATCTCCCGGTGGTGCGCGTGTACATATAGTATCACAACTCACGGGTGCGTGTACTCGTGGAAGCCGGCGTCGCGGTGCTGATGCCTGCCGCAGGCCATCTCCCGGTGGTGCGCGTGTACATATAGTATCACAACTCACGGGTGCGTGTACTCGTGGAAGCCGGCGTCGCGGTGCTGATGCCTCATCTCCCGGTGGTGCGCGTGTACATATAGTATCACAACTCACGGGTGCGTGTACTCGTGGAAGCCGGCGTCGCGGTGCTGATGCCTGCCGCAGGCCATCTCCCGGTGGTGCGCGTGTACATATAGTATCACAACTCACGGGTGCGTGTACTCGTGGAAGCCGGCGTCGCGGTGCTGATGCCTCATCTCCCGGTGGTGCGCGTGTACATATAGTATCACAACTCACGGGTGCGTGTACTCGTGGAAGCCGGCGTCGCGGTGCTGATGCCTGCCGCAGGCCATCTCCCGGTGGTGCGCGTGTACATATAGTATCACAACTCACGGGTGCGTGTACTCGTGGAAGCCGGCGTCGCGGTGCTGATGCCTGCCGCAGGCCATCTCCCGGTGGTGCGCGTGTACATATAGTATCACAACTCACGGGTGCGTGTACTCGTGGAAGCCGGCGTCGCGGTGCTGATGCCTGCCGCAGGCCATCTCCCGGTGGTGCGCGTGTACATATAGTATCACAACTCACGGGTGCGTGTACTCGTGGAAGCCGGCGTCGCGGTGCTGATGCCTCATCTCCCGGTGGTGCGCGTGTACATATAGTATCACAACTCACGGGTGCGTGTACTCGTGGAAGCCGGCGTCGCGGTGCTGATGCCTCATCTCCCGGTGGTGCGCGTGTACATATAGTATCACAACTCACGGGTGCGTGTACTCGTGGAAGCCGGCGTCGCGGTGCTGATGCCTGCCGCAGGCCATCTCCCGGTGGTGCGCGTGTACATATAGTATCACAACTCACGGGTGCGTGTACTCGTGGAAGCCGGCGTCGCGGTGCTGATGCCTGCCGCAGGCCATCTCCCGGTGGTGCGCGTGTACATATAGTATCACAACTCACGGGTGCGTGTACTCGTGGAAGCCGGCGTCGCGGTGCTGATGCCTGCCGCAGGCCATCTCCCGGTGGTGCGCGTGTACATATAGTATCACAACTCACGGGTGCGTGTACTCGTGGAAGCCGGCGTCGCGGTGCTGATGCCTGCCGCAGGCCATCTCCCGGTGGTGCGCGTGTACATATAGTATCACAACTCACGGGTGCGTGTACTCGTGGAAGCCGGCGTCGCGGTGCTGATGCCTGCCGCAGGCCATCTCCCGGTGGTGCGCGTGTACATATAGTATCACAACTCACGGGTGCGTGTACTCGTGGAAGCCGGCGTCGCGGTGCTGATGCCTCATCTCCCGGTGGTGCGCGTGTACATATAGTATCACAACTCACGGGTGCGTGTACTCGTGGAAGCCGGCGTCGCGGTGCTGATGCCTGCCGCAGGCCATCTCCCGGTGGTGCGCGTGTACATATAGTATCACAACTCACGGGTGCGTGTACTCGTGGAAGCCGGCGTCGCGGTGCTGATGCCTGCCGCAGGCCATCTCCCGGTGGTGCGCGTGTACATATAGTATCACAACTCACGGGTGCGTGTACTCGTGGAAGCCGGCGTCGCGGTGCTGATGCCTCATCTCCCGGTGGTGCGCGTGTACATATAGTATCACAACTCACGGGTGCGTGTACTCGTGGAAGCCGGCGTCGCGGTGCTGATGCCTCATCTCCCGGTGGTGCGCGTGTACATATAGTATCACAACTCACGGGTGCGTGTACTCGTGGAAGCCGGCGTCGCGGTGCTGATGCCTGCCGCAGGCCATCTCCCGGTGGTGCGCGTGTACATATAGTATCACAACTCACGGGTGCGTGTACTCGTGGAAGCCGGCGTCGCGGTGCTGATGCCTGCCGCAGGCCATCTCCCGGTGGTGCGCGTGTACATATAGTATCACAACTCACGGGTGCGTGTACTCGTGGAAGCCGGCGTCGCGGTGCTGATGCCTGCCGCAGGCCATCTCCCGGTGGTGCGCGTGTACATATAGTATCACAACTCACGGGTGCGTGTACTCGTGGAAGCCGGCGTCGCGGTGCTGATGCCTCATCTCCCGGTGGTGCGCGTGTACATATAGTATCACAACTCACGGGTGCGTGTACTCGTGGAAGCCGGCGTCGCGGTGCTGATGCCTGCCGCAGGCCATCTCCCGGTGGTGCGCGTGTACATATAGTATCACAACTCACGGGTGCGTGTACTCGTGGAAGCCGGGCGTCGCGGTGCTGATGCCTCATCTCCCGGTGGTGCGCGTGTACATATAGTATCACAACTCACGGGTGCGTGTACTCGTGGAAGCCGGCGTCGCGGTGCTGATGCCTGCCGCAGCCATCTCCCGGTGGTGCGCGTGTACATATAGTATCACAACTCACGGGTGCGTGTACTCGTGGAAGCCGGCGTCGCGGTGCTGATGCCTGCCGCAGGCCATCTCCCGGTGGTGCGCGTGTACATATAGTATCACAACTCACGGGTGCGTGTACTCGTGGAAGCCGGCGTCGCGGTGCTGATGCCTGGCATCTCCCGGTGGTGCGCGTGTACATATAGTATCACAACTCACGGGTGCGTGTACTCGTGGAAGCCGGCGTCGCGGTGCTGATGCCTGCCCAGGCCATCTCCCGTGGTGCGCGTTGTACATATAGTATCACAACTCACGGGTGCGTGTACTCGTGGAAGCCGGCGTCGCGGTGCTGATGCCTGCCGCAGGCCATCTCCCGGTGGTGCGCGTGTACATATAGTATCACAACTCACGGGTGCGTGTACTCGTGGAAGCCGGCGTCGCGGTGCTGATGCCTGCCGCAGGCCATCTCCCGGTGGTGCGCGTGTACATATAGTATCACAACTCACGGGTGCGTGTACTCGTGGAAGCCGGCGTCGCGGTGCTGATGCCTCATCTCCCGGTGGTGCGCGTGTACATATAGTATCACAACTCACGGGTGCGTGTACTCGTGGAAGCCGGCGTCGCGGTGCTGATGCCTCATCTCCCGGTGGTGCGCGTGTACATATAGTATCACAACTCACGGGTGCGTGTACTCGTGGAAGCCGGCGTCGCGGTGCTGATGCCTGCCGCAGGCCATCTCCCGGTGGTGCGCGTGTACATATAGTATCACAACTCACGGGTGCGTGTACTCGTGGAAGCCGGCGTCGCGGTGCTGATGCCTGCCGCAGGCCATCTCCCGGTCGTGCACGTCGTACTTGCCGCCCCGGTTGCGCCGCACCACGCATACTAGCACGAGCACCAGCACGAGGAAGGCGAGCGCCACCATGACGCCGATGAACCACCCGGCGGTGGCCATCTTGTCGTCGCGCATTATCACCGGCCCGTCTGCGGACGAGGACGATGTCGATCATCAAAGATTCGCAGTCAAAAGAACGCTCCAAATTTAAAACTGACAAAAGCAGGATTATGAAATATAAAAACAAACCTTCTACCTTGTAACACTTTGTCATCTTTGCCTAGTCTATTTGAAAAACATCGTGTGTAACAAACAAACACAGATATTTTTTCTTATTTACACTAATTTCGAATCCCCAAACCTAGCTGGTGAAAAAAACGACGGGTTGCACTCCGGGAGTGCCGGCAGAAGTGAAAACTTGAATATTAACGTTGTGAATTTTTTATATTTTGGAATACTTAAGGAATAATTTTGCACGAATTGCTTTAATTTATTGTAAACCACAAGTGGTATACTACAATGAACTTTATTTTCATGTGAGAGAAAAATAAATAAATGATTGAATGATTGATTGATTAATTAGCAGTATAAAAGTACTTTCATTTATGTAGTAAAATACAATATTGCGCTATCGTAAACAAACATGACAATTTATATTACATTAAAAAGTTTATCTCTCAGAAAAATCAACTTACATGAATCACATTTAAGCACACCTAGCGATATCTATTGTAAAAAAAAAGCATTTTCTTCGCAATAAAGCTGCCACCTGGGCGTCCTAATTAGAGACTTATGATTATAATATGATAAAATAAAATATTACTACGTTTCATCCAATATATTGAAAATCAACAACCTTTCCAATTTTATTATTTTCGTCTTATAAATTTTCGATTAGGTCACGAGTCCGGACGTGATCAGGCCACGTGTCCTGACGCGCTATTAATATTTTTTACCCATTACAAAAAAATTGTACAAAAGTTTTCACTTCAAAAATTATATTAATAAGTCAAACCAATTAAACAAGATAAACAAAGTCTCGTATTTTAATACCCCTTCTTATATGACAGTCCCATAAAAAGTATTATCTTATAGAAGTCAAAATTTATAACGATTATATAGTAATGGAATACATTATTATTTATATGACTTGTAAAAGGGTTGAGGTTTCGATTAGTAATTGTAAGTATGTTATTCTTAAAATTGTTATATAGTTTTATTGAAAAAATATAATCAGCTAAATAATGCGAATTAGACTTCTTTGCATAATTGTAAATTATAAGAAATGGAGTTGAAAAGTGAAAAAAGTTCCAGTGGTGCCTTACAATCAAAAATACGTACGGAAAATTTAATAAAACTGCCTACATAAACCTACAACTGTCAATGATAACAGAACTGTTTTAAAGTACAAGCAACTGAACGTGCAAATAGTTCCGTACAATTTTTTACATTAGAAAGTTGGGATCATGGCTGAAGAAATAAAGCTAACGTGATACCTTATAAATAATATAATTTAACGCCTTTGGCTACCAAAATAATCAAAACACACATTGAAGAATAACACTTTCTGAAATTACAATGCATGCAATGATTTTGAAACAAATACCTCGTATTTGTTTCTTAGGTTTTCACGCACATCACTCATTAAATAAAACAAGTTTCAACGGGTTAGATGTACTGATTTTATTTATTTATTGACATTTCGCAGCCTTTTCAGGCCTGCGACGTCCGAATAATGATTTTTTTTGAACTACCTTCGAAAGACTTTTATTGAGCGCTCGGATATTTCATTGGAAGATTTTTAAAACTTTATTGTTTATGTATGAATTTATTAGCTAATTAAATTAGTAAAGTACTGAGTTTATTTATTTGACCCTAACTACCGTAAACTACTACCGGTTCCAAAATTGAGAGACCTTTCTGAGAAGAACCGGCGAAATAAACTCATGAGAGGCTTTCTATCTCATTCTTATGTTAAATCATGCAAACAAAAAGAATTAATAGTATCTGTTGGTCTTGCAGTGTGTGCTCGGGGTTGTGATTATCTGTTGTATAATGGGTTCCCAAGCTGGTGGTAAATACCAACCAACTGCCCTATTGAAATTTGGATATTTCTTAATCTCAATAGCTTCGCGTATCATCCTAGGAATGAATCGTTGTTCAGTTAGATCTGTGGTTTGTCAAATCTAATGTAATGGTTTGGTCCTTCTAATGCATGTTCTCACACTGCAGACTTGTTTTCGCGCCTATGTTTCGTATCTGCGATATGTTCTTTAACCCGAGTCCCTATACTCCTCTTTGTTTGCCCGATGTAGGAGAGGCCACAGTCGCATTCAAGTCTGTAGGTACCAGCAACTTGAAAGGGTATATTGCACTTGACAGTTCGTAGAAACTGGTTGATCTTCTTTGGCGGCTTGAAGTAAGTATTGATCGAAGCACGCTTCAGAATCCTCCCAATCTTGTCAGTGACCACTTTCATGTAAGGTAGTACAGCAGGTTGTCTGTCGACTGTGCTAGGTTTGGAGCGATTGTGACGGCGATGTGGTACCTTCAGATTATTATCCTTCAATACTTGCTCGACATGCTGAAGTTCAGCTGCCAGGTGTTGAATAAATAAATAAAATCAGTACATCTAACCCTTTGAAACTTGTTTTACAAATACATCGACTTCTCCATCTATTAGAAAATCATTTTTAAAGAATCACACGCAGAGACATGAAACCATGGGCGAAAAATTCACACTCAATGCATTTAAAAAAAAAGCCTCATTTTGAATTATTTAAATTAAATAGTATAAATTATTTGAATAGTAAAAAGTGACAGACAAGCCAAGTCACAGATTAACCACAGAATAATAATCAAATTATACTGGGTCACTATGGCAAATGATATATATATACTTAAACAATTTTACACTTAAGCAATATGTATGTATTTATGTGATTATAATTCTATTCGTGTTATTCTTTAAATTTATTTGTATACCGAAACACCGTGCACCATACAGGCCCTGTCGGAATACCAGCGTTGTCGTGACACGTTTAGTTACATGTCACGGCAGCGTTATGCTAAGGCGGGGTAATGATTGACCAATATTATAACTGTTTGTATTTGTTTCTTAGGTTTTCACGCACATCACTCATTAAATAAAACTAGTTTTTACGGGTTAATGCACGAAACTTTATTTATTTATTGACGTTTCGCAGCCTTTTCAGGTCTGCATCGTCAGAATAATGATTTTTTATTTAAAATTGTCGAGCTACCTTCGAAAGACTTATATTGAGCGTTCGGTTATTTCATTGGAAGATTTTTAAAATTTTATTGTCTATGTATGAATTTATTATTTAATTTACTTAATAAAGTATTTTATTTAAAATACTTTATTAAGTAAATAAAGTATTTTAAATAAAATACTTTAATATAAGTATTTTTTTGCGAAACGTCAATAAATAAATAAAGTTTCGTGCATTAACCCATAAAACCTAGTTTTATTTATAACTGTTTGGTTTATCAATGTTTGTGATGCTTTCATTATTTATAAATGTTATTAGCAGTTTATATTATTATATGTTAGTGTGTTTTTATTGGTCAATAAAATTGTTCTCTCTCTCTACCTCTCCATAATATAATTTGTAAAATCAAAGAAAATATGAACCTATGCATTCATAAATAAGAACATTTCTAAATCTATACTTAGATTTTATTGTTTAAAAATCAAATTTTAATAGGGATGATATTTATTTATTGAAATAAGACAACAATTAACTTAAAAAATATACAATAACAGTTTAACTTAAACATATTGAACAAATTAGATCTTCTTTTCCAAGAAACCGAACCAATTCCATGAAAATGACCCGTCTGGCAGATCTGGAAAAAAAAGTGTTTTATTTTGAACCTCCAAATTTATTAAGACTGAGAAAACTAAGTACAAAATATAACCTCTATAAATGTTTGTTTCTCATCAACACCTTAATGGCCTGCGCAAACGAAGGACTTTTGTCCGCGGAGTATTAAAGTCCCAAAATCTTAAAAAAAATGTTGCCCGAAAATTAAGAAGCACAGGCTATGGAAGTAAATATTCTCAAATTTGTTGTGATGTTATTAACATTAAGTTAAAGAAAAAGATAAGACTTTTTAAAACGGAATACTGGTTCCATCTCTTTAAATCGGAGCGAGCATGCCGATCGCTCGCATGCCACGCAGAGTTATAGTAGGGGAGCCCAAGCGTGGATTTTTGAATTTACTCGAGCGCGGCAGATTAACATACCTTGGACCTCGTGAAATACTCCCACCATACCTGCGCGCTCAACGTAGGCCCGAAAGTATAGGGCGGCAAAAAAAAAATGTCAACACACGGCCATCCATGGCTTTCGGTCGCGTCCAAAATGTCAGTCTTTTAAATAGGGATGATGACTAATTTTTTTTCTTCGTTTATCAGGTAGATTATCAAAAAGTATTGGACACGTATTTTTTCTTTTTTCACATAATATAAACATTCCAGAGATATATTGATTTGAAAAGTCGCATGACGTCACGTTTGAGTACAATTATAAGGGAAAATTCACTCAAAAGTGACGTCACCAGCCCCTACTCCCAAACTTTGACGCGCTATAACTTTGTCATTTTTTGGTTGATTGCCCAAAGAAAAAATACGTGTCCATTATTTTTTGATCATCTAACTGACGGACTAAATAGAATTTCGTTTACTGTACCCCGTCATCACCCCTATTGAATCTACAGGAGGGTGCACGACTTCACGTAACGGTTCTGAGGTCGGAAAAAATATTAATCTGCGGGTTTGCATGGTGTAGCCGTACGAATGGGTAGAATATAGAAAAATAATTCGAGCGCGTCAGATATTGAGAAAGGATGTTACGTGAACCCTCCAAAAGCTCCTCTTCAAAAGACTGACGATTTGGACGCGACCAAAAGTCATGGCCATTTATTGATTTTTATTTTTTTGCTTTGAGAGGGCTCAGCTGTGGTGAGAGTATTTCACAAGGTGCAACGTTGCCCTCTTATGTTAATCTGCCACGCTCGAGTGCATCCAAAAATCCACGCTTGGGCTCCCCTACAATAAAGTTAGCTGTGCGCGTTGCTGTGCCAACATGAGTTCTATTTTTTTCGGGGACACCGCGTAATTTTGTTCATTCCGGCCTCTCGGAGCCCGCTGTTGTTTGAGGAACTGCTTGTATGAGGTACTTAAATCCTGTGTGCTTTACTCAATGCAGTTGTAGCGTTCTATTTTGGCGGACAAAGAAGTACGCGAATACGTCGTCTGCGCAGGCGTTAAAGAGTGTCAGTAATTTTAATAAATGTGACTTGGCTGTTTCGTTACTACAAGAACTATTGTATAACTGAAAAGTAATGAACAGAGGATAACATTTTTACCTTACGCTCATGTGAATGTAGCGAATTGGCCAAGCCACATTCTTCGACTAAGGGGCCGTTCAAGTATTACGTAAGCAGATTTATTACAATTATTTACCCCCTCCTCCCCCTTGTCAGCAAAAATAAGCAAGCTCTTTCCCCTCCCCCCCATCCTTACGTAAACATTGGTACCTGTATGCATTTTTCCTTTAATGTATTCTGTTTTTTATTGATTCATGAGCTTTCATGAGCAGCAGCAGTATTTAAAAAGGCTTAATCGGTGATGCTGACGTAATCACCATCTCGACCCCCCACCCCCCATGTCATCAAAAATAAGCAAAGCAAAGACCACCCTGCCCCCCTGTAGTGCTTACGTAATACTTGAACAGCCCCTAAGGGGTAGAGTTTGTGAAGTTTCGCCTTGTAGAGTTAGGGCGAGTAAAGTTAGAAACTTGGCTCTACTATCAGTAACTTTATGACAATGCGAGGCATATGGTCTCGTCTTGGCAACATTTCACACGGAATTTAATTAATACTGAAATAAGGACTAGTTCCAAATCTCGTATATGCCCAAACTAATTTATTAACTAAATTTTAATTGCATGAAAATAAACTATGCCTGACAGCAGTCAATCTAGCGGAATGGGATAGTCCAGAGTCCAAAGGGGGCGATCGAAACAAGATAGTGAATAAAGCGCGGGATTTCCCCAAGCATAGTTAGTGCGTGCCTCGTTAGCAATGAATGAGGCGAGGCAACTTTTACACCACACAAATAAAAGTATTTTACGGTTAAATAGTTGCCGTAAAAATATCACCGGTGCCGATATATCAGCCAACCCAAAGTATCGTCGATATATCGATATCGGATGCATCACATAATTTCACTTATACCTATAAGACACATGGGCAAAATAAAAAAAAAATGGAAATGTACTTACGTTTTCAAAATAGTTGATGAAGATCCCATTGTGACATATTTTAAAAACACAATATTTACTTTTTGTATTGCTGCTACGTTTATGAGTTGAATTACTTTATAAATGATCTTTACATGCACCACTTACAATGAACGACCATCATTTCTTCTTTACACCGGTAGAAAATAAAGAAATAAACAATATAATAAATAACGTTATAAGTATAACATCTTTTAGAACAGACGAAATACCTCCTACCCTGGTTAAGTTGTATTGGCAGTTCTATATACTATGCTGGTAAACCAATCCTTTTAGGTAGTCATCTTCGCTCAGTCTTTAAAAAAAATGAGAAATAAGTGCCATACAGCAAATTGAGACTGTTTTAAATGGCCCGCATACTGTGACATTATCATGTACCCATGTACAAATTTATATTCATATACCCAAATATAATTATAAAGAACATAGAAATATCTACAACATTCAAAAATCAACTAAAAACGTAAATAATCCAAAATTGCTATTATAATTTGTTAGAAGGTCACATTATTATTATAGTTTATTTCATTCTGATGTATCTAGTGTAAGTTGTAATTTGCATTATGTACTATAAAGCCGTTTGATTCCTGAGCCACCATAAGCATAATCTCTTACAAAAATTGCAAAAAGTTATATGAATGTATCCCTGGTAACGAATGTTGTCATTTTCAGAACAATCATATTTCACGCGATTGATCTTGCCGCCGCCCTGTGACATAATGTTGACGTCATATAAATTGAAGTTTTGACCATAGATTTAGGATTTTCTTAATAATCTATTAAAGTTTTTCTTAATGTCAAGAAACTGAATTATTTTTAAGGTTTTGAAAGTTATTTCTAAATTCAATCTACCTATATAGGATTTTATCTTAAAGATGATCTACTGCATTGAATTGAAAACAAAGGTCAAATTTGAAAGATCTTTGATTCACATTAATACAGTTTCTTTCTTATAAGAGATCGTAAGTGCATCTACGTATTCTTTAAAGAAGAAAAGTTGTATGTTTTGACATTTTTAAACGAATGAGGGTGTTTATGAAAATTTACGTCACCAGTTAGCGCCACTGTTACGTGAGGTCTTTTGTATGAAGTTTTTAACGCCAACTCCATAAACCAGATTCATAGACTATGAGATCATATGCGATTTGACGGATGATTAAACCTTTCGTCTCAGTACTGCCACCTGGTGCCTGTCATTCCAAAAAACCCTCATTATCGCAGTGGGCCGGTAATCAATGTTTTCGGTAGTACCTAAAATTGTTTTATAAATGAGCAAATAGTATAATTTAGTTTTAACGATAATTGCTAAGTTTTCGCGTCACATGTTTACCCATAATCATTAATGTACCACCCAAAATGTAAATTAACATGCAATAAATGAATAAATGGATGACGTCGTATTTTTTTTTTGTCTATCTGGTGGATTATCAAAAATTATTGAAATATTATTCACGTAGTTGACGTCACGTCTAGGTACAATTTTTACTTACACGTGACGTCACGAATCCCCACTGCCAAACTTTGACGCGCTTTATCTTGTGATATTTTTTTTATTAATTGACAAAAGCAAAAAATAAGTGTTCAATAATTTTTCATAATCTAACTGACGGGATAGACTAGATAGAATTTTGTTTACTCTTCCCCGTCATCATCCATTTTAAAAGAAGTATGAATTTCAATTAAATATTATGGAAACATATTCAAAAACAATATTTAAAATGTCAAATTCGTTAAATGATATTCAATATTGCACAGTTTTCATTAAAATTTAGCAGAAAGAAAATCTTTTACATAATAATAGAATTACCAATTAGGAAATTGTAAGGTATTTTTTTAAATTAAAATTGGGACGCTTTTTTCAATTCATCTGGCAATTGATTATATACTTGAATATCGGTAAGAGCAATATGGATTATTACTATACAATTTTATACTCGGAACACGTACAATATTTTTCACATTATGGCCTGTCCTCTTTAAAATGTTGCAATTCCATTTAAACAAATGTATGTTTATGAACAAAGATACCATATTTATACAAACTTGGCAAAGGTACAATATTTTTCGATTTAAATAAAGGTTTGCTACTTTGCAATAGGCAGTTAATTCCATAGACAGCCGTTAAGTTTTTTTTCTGAATCCTAAACACCTTAATGCTGTCTATAGAGAAGCCCCGCAATAGCGTAACACCGAATGAACACAGCCATGATAAGCCAATATTGCAAATTTTTCGTAATTATTCATAACATAAACATACAACATACGTATTTGTCTAACTTACTACAAAGAATTGTAACAGATTCTTTCAATTTAAATATTTGTTAAGTGTTATAACCAGGAACTTTGCATGAATAAACTGATAATAATTTTACTCATTAATACGAAGCTCTGTAGTATTGTTATTATATTATGTTTGAAATTTTAATTTAGTTTTTTTCAAGTTTAATGATAAATTATGACTATGTATCCACCCACGAAAGGCCAGAGTCAAGGCAACTTTTTACGTCCTGCGCCAAGCTGCATTTATTTTTGCTTTTTATAGTATGTAAGTGTGATGTTGTCCGCTAAGAGAATACAGTCAATATCCAAAGCCATCGGAAATGTTATGTTAATTTATGTAAAGCTAAAACAATAATAGACCCAGTATATCTCCTTGCGGTAATACTTCATCAATGTCAGCGTATCGAGACCTGTAAGTCTCTGATGACCAGTTGCAGCAATTTAGCTTAATCTCAATTTAAGTAAAACTAAATTTAGCCCATACAATGATGTCAAATTTACATTGACGTTTTGACATGATGAATCGAAATTTATCAATTTGCTGCAAATGGGCCTATGTAATGTTCTGATATCATGAGTCATGTTTTAACAGGTCAAAAGCTTTGCTAGACTTTTTATCTTACTATATAATAATCAATCAATAAATATACTGACCTATGGAGGTGTCCACCTGCTGCATCTCGCTGGTGCTGAAGTAGTCTCCGTCGTGTGCGGTGAGCTTTATATCGTACAATCTGGCCGGTTGCAGCCCAGTGATAGTGACATGGTCTTCGTCCGTAACGTCCGGGGTTCGAAGCCATTGCGCGTCGCCTTGCAATCTGTACCACGCCACGAAGTGGGTGCCCGCGTGACCATCAATGTTGGGCAGCCATTGCACCTGGATTATTATGTCTCGTGATAATTAAGAAGCGCGTTCGGCTGCGATCGTTGAAGTAAAGCGACCTTCGCAGTGGTAGGTCATTGGATGGGTGACCAAAAATTTACTGTTACGAACTCCTCCGTTCTTCGGAAGGCACGTTAAGCCGTTGGTCCCGGCTGCATCTGCAGTCGTTAGCACCCACCTATCCGCACTGGGCCCGCGTGATGGGTCATGGCCCAAAACTCCCTATTCCATCCATACGGAAGGCCTGTGTCCCAGCAGTGGGGATATAATAAGGCTGATGTTGATGATGATGATTGAATTACAAAACAGAATTAAAATTTCCCTCCCGGAGGGTAAAATATTCTGGACCAGCTTCAATTTACCTAGACTATTTACATTTAACATGATTTTGTTTGAAACTTCTCTATAATGTAAAAAATAATCCTTTTTGAACACGCTGACACGAACATTTCTTAAGAAAGTAGTAAACAAATACTGTTTATACATACCCTGATGTGGGCCGTTCCTTCTTTCCCCGGCAAGGTTTTGGTCTCAAACATCGGTACGTCCGGGACCGCGTTGACCACAGCCTTCGTCGTCTGATGGACATATTGCTCGTCACCTTCACCGGCCTTGGTCTTGGCCCTTACGATGATCCTGTACTGTGTATTAGGCTCCAATCCAGCTAACTTCGCCCGGTCCAGTTTGGGATCGATCGCTTTCTTGCGATGCTGCAAAGGCCCCTCAGAGGTTCCGATCATTTTCTTATAGGAAATCGTGTAGCCGGTCAAGATGCCGTTTTCATCGAGAGGTTTGTCCCATTTGACGAGCATCGCCGACGATCCGAGGGGGTAGGCCTGTATAGATCTGACCTTTCCTGGTTTCCCTTCGGGTGTGACGAAGGAGACTACATCGCTGGGTGGGCCGTTGTAGCGGCTATTGTAGGCGAGGATGCGGGCGTTGTTTTTCTTAAAAGGCTTGAACTGCGTGACCAAGGTTTGAGTGGCGTCGGCTTTGACCAGGATCTCTTTTTGTTGGTTTTCCTCGCCGTCGATCCAGGTTTGGATCTTGTAGCCTTTGAAGTGGCCTCTGACAGATTCGGGGGAGACAGCGTTCCAGCTGAGCAATGCGCTGGTGCCGGAAGTGACTTGAACGAGGGTGAAGTTGGAGGGGGCTTGCATAGGAACATCCTCCCCTGACCACCCTATCACTTCTACGGGGGTCACGTTCGATGTGCCTTTAGAATTCACCGCCACCACCTGTGGAAGGTTGTTCAGATAAGTGGATGAGACAATAAATACTTAGGACATGACTCTATTATTAACTATACTTGTTCATAAATAGCTCCATCTAGCGACAATCATCGACTATCATCTGGCAACAATTTCTCACCATTAGGAGAAGCTAACACCGGAAGAGACGAGATGCGCTGTATATCAATATATATAGGGACAGACAGACACCAGAGCACTCCTTGGCCAGGGTATCACTCAACTTCAATATACAATACTACTATTTAAAAGATGTCATAATTAACCTATTAATAGGGCCGACTCTGGCATGATTCACTAAACCAAAAATGAAATTAGCTAACAGTATATCCTTGTCATACTCTACACAGAATGAAAAGGAGAGACAAGTTGTCATACTCATATTTGAATTAGAGATTGACATGAAAATCAGATTCAATATGAACATACAGACAAAAAAAAAAATGCACATAATAACAACACCAAAAAAATAAAAATTACACAATTATAACACGAGTTATGTGATAGGGTGTCACTATTTTTACTTCGATCGATCTGTCAAAAAGATAATTAATGAATGGACAGACTATAATATAAGTTTTCGTGTATATATTTAAACACATCTATTCTCAAAGAGCTAAATTGTTTTCTGTTTACCAAAGTTAGCGTTTTAAAAGACTAAAAGTGTTTTGAATTAGGAATGTGGATATTGTTAGTAAAAGTTTCAATCACCAAAGAGATCAATCACAATTATCCTATGAACAAGTCAAAATAAAACTGAGAAAAAATTTGAAACCAATGAAATACATTCCGCCTTCTTTCATAATAACTTCACTTCTAAGTAAAAACTGTACAAAGACATGACGTCATGCGACATTTCAAATCAATATGTCGCTGTATTTCCGAGGAGCTCGTTGGCGCAGTTGGCAACTTTCGCAAAGGTCGGTCATTGGATGGGTGACCAAAAACTTATTATCTCTCACTCCTACGTCTTCGGAAGGCACGGTAAGCTGCATCTGCAGTCGTTAGCACCCTCGAACTGGGTCCGTGTATTGGGTCACGGCCCAATCTCCCTATTCAATTCATAGTGAAGGCCTGTGTCCCAACAGCGGGGACACTAATAGGCTGATGATGATGAGTTACCTTGATGCTATACGGATCGAAGGTGGGTTTTTTTTTCATTCCAACATTCACACCAATTAGCCTAGCCCCAAAGTAAGCACTATAAGGCTTGTGTTATGGGATACTAGGGTAACGGATAGAATACATGTACATTTATATAGAAAATACATATTAAACATCCATGACTGGACAACAAATGCGCGTATTCATCACACAAACATCTGCCCCCACCGGGATTTGAACCAAGGACCTCTCGAGTCGGCGACACCATGATACCCGGCGTACAAACCACTCGGCCACGGAGGTCGTCATGTTGTTTGTGCTCGATATTAACAGTTATATGTAGCGGCAAACCTTTTGAGCAAAACCACTGAGTAAAAATCTTGCGCAGTAGAGCAGCTTTTGTATAACGAAACGCTACTGCGCAGACTTCCTTGATTACTGTCGATACTCAAGCCCTGTTATTAATAAACGAGAAATGAGCTTAGACCGGGAGCTCTACTCTCTTTCCCCGAAACGAAATTTCGCCAACTAACGAATTTTAAACGAAATTTGGCCAGTGACTCTACTCTATTTCATTTTTGAACACGCACATAAAGTTCGGAATCATAAACAATTTTCTCCGCCGTAGTTTTGTGAACCAATGGCGTAGCTTCTTGACCTTCACAAGTGCTTGTAACAGCTTAGACTAAATAAATGACTTTTCATTTCATTTCATTTTATCTTTATATATATAATTCTTCTGTGAGTGTGTATGTCACTGAACTTCTCTTAAACGACTGGACCGATTTTGATGAAATTTTTTGTGTGTGTTCAAGGGGATCTGAGAATGGTTTAGATTCACAATTTTGTCCGCTGGACAACCCCTATTTTTTTAGGGCGGTACGAAGTTCGCTGGGTCAGCTAGTATCTTATAAAGCTACCTCCCAGGGCTTTCCTTCAGGAAGTGTTTACAGTACCTTGATCCTGTAGGGCTCGAAGGTTGGCGTGTTTGGCACCAACAGTTCAGATTGTTGCCAGTCCCGCACTTGCGCCTCGTCCCACTGCTGGCCGGCGATGTCGCGCCGCCACGACACTAGGTAGTAGAACCCGGGGCCGTTGTGCTCGATTTGAGGCATTTTCTACAATCGATTTAAATTTAAAACAGAATTATTTAAGTTATAATTTTTATTATTTTAAAGCATGTAACTGCTTGATGTTTAAATCTAAAGAAAATAGGACTAGAAAAAATTCCACGCGGACAAGGCAGCAGACGGGACTCGAACCCGCACCCTTCGCAATCTGGGCGAGTGCACTGATCAATTATTCTACCGCGGCCCTCACGGACCGCGTCGAAATTCTTTTAGTCATTCTTAAGCTGCAAGGCAGCGCCATCTCTTCGCATTATAGGTAACCCACAATGTCAAATATAGAAGAAGAAATAGCAATTATAGTTATAATTATTACAATTAATCAATTAATTATAGGATTATTTAAGTTGTGGGGTGTGGTTTCCCATATTAAATGATATATGATAGAATATGATATAAAAATGCTAGACACTGATAATTGATAATGTTAATACGGAATGATAAAGAAACAACCGATTGATAGTAACGCTTGTAATGCATTGACCGATACGTGTTGCGCATACATCATCATGAAAGTAGAACGTTAAATTAACAAAATAAAATATCAATTACGAAATATGTACGTTACACCGTACAAATGTGATACATCTATTGGCGCACGTAAAACCGATTTGGCGATTTAAGCCGGCGTGGCGACTCATGCCGTGGCGATTATTAATATTTGGAATCGGTGCAATGCTAGCCCCAGTAGTAAATGGGAACTCAGATCTATCAGACATGCATGGCACCGACTTCGAATATTAATTTGACAAGAAAGTTTTTTTATCTTTTACTTTTAGACGGTTTTAGTTTTATTGGTATTTTTTTTATAATTCTTTTAATAAAAAACTCGACATCAAAATCTTTGAGTGAACATTCACCCCTATTTTCCCACCCTTAGGGTAAGCTTTTTGTTTCTAAATTCATATGGGACCAACTACGGTGTACACCCTTTCCAATAAAAAAAGAATTATCAAAATCAGATTACTCTGTAAAAAATGTTAAAAAAAAATATACGCGTCGACTTGAGAATTTCCTCCGTTTTTTTTTCGATTACTAAACTTGATAAATATTGTAACATCTGTATAAAAACAAGGGGCCCAACTACAAATTTTAACAGCAACATATTCGTATCGTCAAATTTCGTATGGAAAAAGCTGGTTTGTTCTTCCGTCTGACAGAGGCGCAGTAGTTTTTATAGAAACTTTGACGATGCGAAACCGTTGCAGAGCTGTCAAAGTTCTTTCGTTCTTCTGTTTGGGCCTCCGATTGATTTGAAGATGGTGGAAAAAAGTATGTATAATGATTAAGATTTTATTTATTTTTTAAGCATTTTACTGCTAGATGTTTAAATCTAAAGAAAAGTTTACTAGAAAAAAATCCGCGTGGATTAATTTATTAATCATTATACATACTTTTTACCACGGCCCTATTAGCCGCATCGAAATTTTCCTAGCCTTAAGCTGCAAGGCAGCGCCATCTCTTCGCATTGTAGGTAACCCACAATACTGATAATACTGATAATACTGTATAATGATTATACTGACCGCCCAGGAGATGAGCATATTGTTGGGTTCCGTCCCCCTGCCCTCCACGTTGTCGGGGTTCTTGTATGGCACGTCGGGCTCCGTGGTGCACACGTCGGAGTGCGCCGACGGTAGGGACGGACCGATCTTGTTCCACGCGATCACTCTGTACGAAAAGTTTTGTTCTTTAATAATAATAATAATAATAATAATATTCTTTATTGTTATACACCATAGAAAAACACACAAGTAAATTAAAACATGATAAATAGAACGTCCACAATATAGGCGGCCTTATTGCTAGGCAGCAATCTCTTCCAGGCAACCCATAAAAGAAAGATAAATAAATATGAAGGAGATAAGGAGGGGTGTTATAGAAAAAAAAACATAATGATATCAATGGTAGGAAAAACAGATATATCTAAGGAAGGAAAGATAGGATGAAGTAAAAATTTAACATAATTGTTGAGATAGGAAATAACTCCGAACTTATCCCTAAAATAGTTCAGAGTGCGAGCCCTTTGAATGGTTTCTGGCAATGAGTTCCATAATCGTACTGAATGCACAGAGAAGGAATAGGAAAAGAAATCAGTAGAATGAATTGGAATTTCAAGAGATAGGTTAGAAGAAGATCGCAATGTGCGCTGTGAAGTAGAAGTGAGAAACGTGAAGTTTTGTTCTTTATTCTTTATTGCATGCCACGGATAGTACAAAAAACAACATTATCATAACCTGTACAAACATGTGACACCCTGCAAAGGCGTTGCAATTTTTCTTAATTTATTATTATTATTTAAATAAACATTCAAATATATTATAAAAAAAATTCAATTCAATTATTAAACATGCATCTTACCAAAATTAAAATTAAAAAATACATATATTTTACAATTTAAAAACTATAGATATTAATTATTAATATACAATTTTCACACTCAGAATTTTTAATATAATGTAGAGGTATTTCATGAAATTTAATAAGTTTTTTTATTACTTCATTAAAATTATATATCAAATATGTTTATCTTGGAAAAATTCTAATATATTATAATATGATTTATTAATAAGATGTTCCTTTAGACATTTTTCAAAAATTGTATCGTTTTCCAAATTTTTAATATTGTTGGGTATGTGAATAAATTAATTATCATGGAGTGTGGAGAATTAGATACCAATTTCAAGTTTGAAAACGGGGCTTCAGTAGATTCTGGTAGCGATCATTACGTCTTACTAATTTAACTGGGGAGTATAATTCGATATGTTTTTTCACAAACTTGCAGGTTTCAGAGATGTATAGGCATGTTATGGTAAGTATTTTAATTTTTTTGAAATATGGTTTGCAGGAGTCTGTCTGTTTTATATTTGCAAGTATTCTTATAATTTTTTTCTGGAGGACAAAAACATCATGAATATCCGTTGTTAAGGCCGCGTTGTTTCATCGATAGTTAAATTAGACTAAAGTTAATGGAGGAACTCGATGGCGCGGTCGGTTTGCGCATTCGGCTGCGATCGTGGAAGATAATCAACTTTCGCAGTGTTCGGTCATTGGATGGGTAACCAAAAATCTTTTATCTCGAGCTCCTCCGTGCTTCGGAAAGCATGTTAAGCCGTTGGTCCCGGCTGCATCATTTTTGAAGTTATACTTCTTTAGGCGCGTTATGAAAAAATGATGAGAGTGAAATTTTAAGATGCGCGCGCATCATGTAACACAAAATTTTAACATAATGAAGTTGGTCGCTTTAGCGACCAACTTCTGTGTTTACCGCACATTAAGAAAATCTACCAACGTTACTTTTGTGTTTATCGCACATTAAGAAAATCTACCAAATAAATAGAATCTCTATTTAGTGGGTGCTAACGACTGCATTGTGAAGGCCTATCAAAAGTATTTATTAATCTGGAACAACGGAACCAAAGCGCGATTCAGGAGACTACAGCGCCATCTCTTGAACCAAAAACCACATCTTTATTTTTTGTAATAAAGTAACAGTTATAGGTATTCATATTTATAATATTTATCCACATGTTTCTAGTTTGTATATTCGGAATACGTGTTTGAGTTTCATACAAGTGCAAATCACATATGTTCTAATAAATTATATTCAGTAGCGATTTTAATTGAATATTTTGATTATTTATTTATTGTTTCAAATTAAAACTGAACTTTATTGACTTCGTCCTTTTCCAGACTTTTTATTAATTTATTGTAATTAATTATTTGCATGCAATTAAAAACTAATTTTAAACGATGCCAAAGAAGGATAACTTCTCACGCGCCTACATAAGTACACGTACCCATTTTTTTTATATATATATAGAGGTAGGCAAATGACTCTATTCCATCTGATGTTAAGTGGTAATAAAGTCCAAACGCGAAGATAGTTAGTACAGCAGTTATAAACTGCTATACCAACCATCCTCACCTTGCCGGCCTGCAAAAATGCTTCTTCACGCCTCTCTTAAAGGACCCCAGATTATAGGAAGGAGGGGACACTTGCGCGGGTAAAGAATTCCACTTACGAATAGAACAGTGTAATCTGCAGTCGTTAGCATCCAGCAATTCGCACTGGGCCCGCGTGGGGGGTCACGGCCCGCACTCCTTATTCCATCCATTGGGAAGGCCTGTGCCCCAGCAGGGGGGACATTCATAGGCTGACAATGAAGATGATGATCCTATATCACGGATGCACCGGTCGAATACTGGTGGCCCGCCGACAGCAAAAATAATAAGCATAAACGCTATGAAATGTGCCAGCTTATTTGGTTTTACCTATATATGTGAACAAACTTTTTCAATACTAAATAATAATAAAACAAAAAATCGAACCGCCTTGCAAATTATAGTTTGGAAGCAGTGTTACGTGTTGCTACAAGTAAATTTGAGCCAAATATAAAAAAAGATTGTAAGCACTATGCCGTGCCACGCTTCAAATAAATAAATTCTTTTTCAATTTTTATATACAGGGTGTTACAGAATTCCGAAACAAAATTTGTAGGTATGTATTCCGAAATAAAAATTTGTAGGTATCTGAGCGGGGCGCAGGGGCGCCTGGGGGAGAGAGGGGGGTCTGTTTAGGTAGTAGTAATCGTACGCATTTATAGGGTTGTCATAGGCAGGTGTAAAACGATATTTTTATTAATTTAATTAGAAAATAAAAATGGTCTCAAAGGCGTCAAACTTCCGTGGGTAATTCTAAACAAGTAACTCAACCAAACCCTAAAGTTTTATTTCGGACTTTTGTCACACCCTGTATATTTAATATATATTATCAATTCTTTATTGTCTTTAATAACCTATACTCCTGGCGGCCCGCCATCAGTTCATGATTTGCCCGAGTGGCCCCTAGTCTTAATAAGTCTGTGCATCCCTGTCCTATATCGATGTGGCCCACTCACCGGAAGGTGTAGTTGGCCCAGGGCGTGAGGGGCGCGGCCCACTCGTTCTGCGAGGCGGGCACGTTGTCGTTGGCCACGTCCCAGGTGTGGGGCGTGAAGGAGGTGTTGTAGTGTATGCGGCCCACTCACCGGAAGGTGTAGTTGGCCCAGGGCGTGAGGGGCGCGGCCCACTCGTTCTGCGAGGCGGGCACGTTGTCGTTGGCCACGTCCCAGGTGTGGGGCGTGAAGGAGGTGTTGTAGTGTATGCGGCCCACTCACCGGAAGGTGTAGTTGGCCCAGGGCGTGAGGGGCGCGGCCCACTCGTTCTGCGAGGCGGGCACGTTGTCGTTGGCCACGTCCCAGGTGTGGGGCGTGAAGGAGGTGTTGCAGTGTATGCGGCCCACTCACCGGAAGGTGTAGTTGGCCCAGGGCGTGAGGGGCGCGGCCCACTCGTTCTGCGAGGCGGGCACGTTGTCGTTGGCCACGTCCCAGGTGTGGGGCGTGAAGGAGGTGTTGTAGTGTATGCGGCCCACTCACCGGAAGGTGTAGTTGGCCCAGGGCGTGAGGGGCGCGGCCCACTCGTTCTGCGAGGCGGGCACGTTGTCGTTGGCCACGTCCCAAGTGTCGGGGGTGAAGGAGGTGTTGTAGTGTATGGAGTATCGCAGCACGGCGGCGCGGTTGTCCCCCTTGGGAATCCACGAGAGGTGCGCCAGTCGGCCTTGGCAACGGATGCTGTTCAAACCCGGCGCGTTCGGCTTGTCTAGAGAATAAATAAATAAATATTTCCAACACTCACACCAATTAGCCTAGCCCCAAAGCAAGGGCGGATCCAGCTTTGGTGCCAGGAGGGGAGGTCATATAGTCGTGGTCAAGTCACAGTGGGTACAGATTGTGGAGTGGACCCAGCCCAGGGGGGGGGGGGTCATGGCCCCCATGACCCCCCTCTGAATCCGCCTTTGCCCCAAAGTAAGCACTGTAAGGCTTGTATTATGGGATGCTAGAGTAACGGATAGAATACATTATACTGCACATATATAAGTATTTTTAGATAGAAAATACATATTAAACATCCATGACTGGAGTACAAATGCTCGTATTCTGCAAACAAACATCTGCCCCAACCGGGATTCGAACCCGGCACCTCTCGAGTCGGTGACACCATGAAACCCGGCGTACAAACCACTCGTCCACTGAGGTCGTCGTGAGTAACATTAACAAGTGACAGCCACAGATCACGGAGCGCAAATTACAGAAAGTGTATTCTTTCGCACCTTGTGCCGGCACGTCATGTGGCTAATCGTGTTTGCTATTTGGTAGATGTGTATCCACAAAGAGCAGTGAGAGGACGGGACTGCCATCGAGGCGGATGCGATTGGCCATGTGAAGTTCCGGCATAACAGGCCCTGCCAGAATACCAGCGCTGCTGTGACATGTTGTGTAGCGTGTTACGGCAGCATTACGCTGAGGCAGGGTCCTGATTGACCACAAATGGTATTATATTTTTTTTTCTTTTCTCCATCATGTATATTTTCATATTTTTTTTTGTGTGTTGTTTTGTAAATTTATTAATGTGGTCAATAAAAATGATTCTCTCTCTCTTTCTCTCTCTCACCAATTAGCCTAGCCCCAAAGCAAGCACTGTAAGGCTTGTATTACGGGATGCTAGGGTAACGGATAGAATACCTATACTGTACATATACAAGTATATTTACATAGAAAATACATATTAAACATCCATAACTGGAGTACAAATGCTCGTATTCGGCAAACAAACATTCACCCCATCCGGGATTCGAACCCGGCGCCTCTCGAGTCGGTGACACCATGAAACCCGGCGTACAAACCACTCGGCCACGGAGTTCGTCAAAATGAAAGTAAACCCTGATGAGAGCTTCGGGTGTGTGCAACTTCATAAAAAAATAATAGTGTGCACGAACCACACGTCTGAAGTGAAACTTCTTTTCTTAAATAACCTAATGTTAGGCGGTGCATAAGGCATAGGGGAATGGAGCAACGGACGCATCACTCATATATTTATATATTGTTGCGTGTAACGCTAGCAGCGTTTCAGCCTTCGCCGAGTTACCCTCCCAACTTTCATGCCCATTGGGAAGAGCTGCGCACGCATAACACACACCCTGTATATATATATTTTTAATGATATTTAAAAATATCGGTCATTTTAAGACACGTCACTAGTTCGAGGATCATTAAAAATAACTGTTTTTATAAAAAGTTAAAACTTCATGCAAATATTTTAAGAAAATAGAAGAAGATTCCTTATATGATGTACTTCAACGCCCTTCAAACTTTTTTTGTATTTTTGTAACATCCTGTATATATATATATATATATATAGTGGAGTGACGTTCGTGACGCATATCTATTTCACATTTGCCATAGGATTTTAACTTGCTATTTACACCCCGTCCGAAAAGAAGTTTCTCTTCAAAACATGTACTCATTTAAGGTGTCTCAGCAACATGAGCTTTTGATCGATTTTATATATAGTCCGGTCAAATTAGCTTCAAAAATAGGGGTAAGGTTACATTAATTCGCACCTAGCTGAAAATTGGCATGAATGTTGGGAACCCTATTACACACAATTTATCAATTATCCACATGAATCCAACGTGAGGAAAAAAAAATATTCAAGGTCAAATGTTGCAAAAATCGGTTTATCGAGTTTTCCAGCTAAACGGTAAGTTTTATTATAAAAATAGGTGAGGCAAAAATTATTCATCATGCAATTATCTATAAAAATTGTTTATACACTTTTTTTCCTAAGATTCACCATTTCGGAGATATAACGATGCAAAATGTTGAAAAAGTTGTATTCTTTATAATATGTATGTCAATTACCGTTAAATACGTTACAGAACGATAATATAAGTTAAAAATATTAGTTTTCGTGGCGTATACATGCATACTATACAATTGTAAGAATATAAACTCGAAAAAAAATCCAGTCCCGTCCAGTCAGTCAGTCAGAGCACCTCAGAGATAAGTTTCGATACTTATCTTTTGCTAAAAATACGCATAAAAAAAACAAGTACAATTAGCTTGTTTTCCTCCAACCTCTGCTTCTGCTCAGCGACATCTATTTCGGGTATATTATCAAGTTCAAGTATGGCTCGGTATAGTAAGTTAATTGACAATATATTGGAACCAGTAAAGACTTTACTACCTCCTGCACCAGAAAAAACTCCTCAATTCAATTTTTTGCAATCGCAAATCGGGGTGTAATGCTAAATGCGGCTGTAAAAAAGTTATGTTGTTTTGTTCATTAGATCAGTTGTCGAGGCCAATCGTGCTCCAATGTTCAATCGCCAGTAGAAGAGGATTCTTACGATATATGCGAGGAGACATCTGATGCATCGCTCTTTGAACAATTTATTTGTACCCAGCAGGAAGAAGAAGAAGAAGAACAAGACAGTATGGATTATGTTCCATTAGAAGAGTATCAATCAGACGAATAATTTTCTCAAATTACTCATTACTTACACCGACCTTGTCATTACAATAGTACCATTTTCAATTAAATACAATAGCTTTTAACTCAACAGAACCACAATAGATCGTGGAATAGGCCTACCGGGGAAACCACGGAAAAATAAAACGCACCATTTACACTACCTCACGGGTGGCGCGGAAACGTGTGCATATTATGAGTAACACAACTTTTTTAACTTTTTACATCGCTATATCTCCGAAATGGTGATTCTTAGGAAAAAAAGTGTCTAAACAAAATTTATAGATAATTGCATGATAAATAATTTTTGTTTCGCCTATTTTTATGGTAAAACTTACCGTTTAGCTGGAGAACTCAAAAAACCGATTTTTGCAACATTTGACCTTGAATATTTTTTTTTCCACACGTTGGATTCATGTGGATAATTGACAAATTGTGTGTAACAGGGTTCCCAACATTCATGCCAATTTTTAGCTGGGTGCGAATTAATGTAACCTTGAATGTCTATTTTGACCGGACTAATATTTTAATATCGATATTATTTATTTATGACTAAAGCAATACAACCTCTAAAATTATTCATATCATTAACGAAAATATTAAAGATGAATCGATAAATCTTGCAGTTTGCGTAAATGATGTTTGTTGCTTACTCTTTTAAAGACTATACTTACGGGTTAAACAGTTGGCAGCAACAAATGTCTTTAAATTGGATTTGCGAACTATACAGTTTAACACTATTAAATACATTACTTTCTCAAAAATTATTACAAAAAATAACGGAGGGACAATTCAAAAGTAATAGTTTACATGAAAAAATTAATTTAAATTACATTGCACCTTCCCTATTCATCCAATAACCGGCCATAGCAAAACTTGTTTAAATGCCACGATGGCAAACCGAATCAGTGGCGCCATCTAGCTCCAAAAACATGTCCATATAAAAGCTGCAGGAGGAGCCTCGAGAAGACCTCGATGGTGCAGGTGGATAGTGTGCTCGGCTATGATCTTTAAAGTTAAGCAACTTTTCAGTGGTCGGTCATTGGATGGGTGACCAAACATCTTCTATCTCGAGTTCCTCCGTGCTTCGGGAGGCACGTTAATCCATTGGTCCCGGCTACATCAGAAGTCGTTAGCACCCGCCAATTCGCATTGTACCCGCGTGGTGGGTTATGGCCCAACACTGCCGCATTTAGGGGAGGGCAACCGGGGCGAAAGCCCCGGGGCCTCCACAAACGGGGGGCCCCCACAATAGAGACTTCGGAAAAAAAAACTTTCAAATTCCAACTAGTAAACACTAGTAAACATCTATTCCTTTGATATTTTTTTTTTCTCTTTTACTTTTACCTACAGCTAATCCTACAGTTTACCTACAGCTTTCAGATAATTCTTGTTTCCGTTTATATTTATATGTGTTTGTTCAATACTAAGGGAATCTACTTGGTTCACAATAAATTATTTATTGAAAAACTCGACTGAAAAAAAATTGTTTACTTTATTTGGAAAATAATTTTGGGTGAGGGGGCCTCCGCACCTCTGTTGCCCCGAGGCCTCTGGACTTCTAAATCCGGCCCTGTGGCCCAATCTTCCTATTCTATCCATAGGGAAGGCCTAAACCCCAGCAGTGGGGACATTAATAGGCTAATGATGAAAGGCTGCAAAGCATAATAATAGAATATAAAAAAAATCAACCTTGCACAGTGAGCTTCGCGTCCGCACTGTCCTCATCGAAGGGGGTGCGGGCGATGCAAGTGTAATTCGCAGAGTCCAGCTCGGTAGTATCAGAAATGAGCAGCGAGTAGTCGTTGGTGACTCGGTACCGCGGCTGGCTATCGAAGTCGATGCGCCGTCCGTCTACCAGCCATATTATCTCTAGAGGCAGGGATTCGTCCGCATGCGCGTTGCACCGGAAAGTGGCTGAAGATCCGGCGGGCACTTCGTACGTTTCCGGTTTGTCGGTGATCATCGTGCGTTCTGTGAAAACAACGTTACGTCATCGATCATGGAAAATGAACACCTTCGTGCCACAAGCACGAAAAGCGTTTAAAAACAAGAAAAACGTCCGGTAGAGGCGCTGTTCAGTTTTCATTGACTATAATAATAATAGCTTCGGAATATTATATTTTAAGTTAAAAGGGAATATCTTTTCTTTACATTTAACCATCTAGCAGTTAAATGCCTAAAAAATAAATATATAACTTAAATTGCTATTTCTTCTTTCAAAATGTCTACCTACGCCTATTTGTAAAGGTATTCATTTGACATTGTGGGTTACATATAATGCGAAAAGATGGCGCTGCCTTGCAGCCTTTAAAATACTATTGAAAATTCGATACAGCCATCAGGGTCGCGGTAGCATTATGGTCAGTGCATTCGTCCGGATAGCGAAGGGCGCAGGTTCGAGTCTCGTCTGCTGCCTGGTTCGCGTGCATTTCTTTCTAGTAAACTTTTCTTTAAATATAAAGTAGGATGGTAAGCGCTACAATAGACATTGAACCACTTACTTTTAACAGTGATAGAAATTTTTTTTTTTTTTTTTAATTTTTTACAATAGACATTGAACCACTTACTTTTAACAGTGAGTGAGCCGAAAGCCGACTTCTCCCCAAACTTATTGTTGGCGTAGCACCGATAGGTGCCTACATCGGTGAAGGATACGTCGCGGATCACCAGGTCGCCGTCCGCTGTGATGTTGTATCTGAACACAAATATTACTCATCAAAAATGTTTATGAACATTTACTAACACTAATACGTTTATTAAAAAGTTAGAAATTTACATTTCTGTAAGTTCACTGATAGAAAACGTTTAGAAACATTTATAACATGACGTCGGCTCTCAGTTTTGGATTATGTTCCGATGCATCTACAAGAAAATGAAGGTTTGCTCATTGGATTAGCTTTATTTATTTATTTATTTTTAAATAGAAAAAGCGCTTTAAATATTTGCGCCGCACGTTAAGAGCCCTTTTACAAAATTGCGCCGCTGCCGTACTGATCGGCGCGTAGGTAGATTTGCGCTAGCATATTTTGCATTTTACGGGTGATGTTTCGAGTCTTACAAAATAATTATTAATGAACTAATTATAAAAATATATACATATTTCAGTAGTTCAATGATGGTAGATTAGTTAAATGAAAGTTTTTGGTAGTAATTCTTTTTAATTCAATATCAAAATACGAGGTAAACCTTCATTATTTTTTTGGAAAACTCACGGAGGTTAGATGTTTTTTTTAATAATTAATGAGATGGTAAATCAAGATTCTAATACATTATGTTACAACAAAAACATATTTCAGATGTTGTAGCAATTAATTTGATCTGCTTTATTGAACATTATTAAGAGATTGAGGCGTTTGAAGTTGTGCATATTATCGTTTTTTCCGTAAACTAGCTGCAGTAAAACGATCAGTACAAAAAAAGGAAAATAGTATTTGCAAATATTCTACATTAACATACAATAGGAAGAATAAATATACTGTTAGCTTCTATTGGAAATAGTCAAAATCTTTTCTAAGGGGGTAAACGAGGGGCTCAAAAATTACGATATTTTGCAAAAAATGTAAAAGGGCTCTTAAGTGCTAGGGAAACGTGTAGTGCCACATGTACACTAACCACTGTTAAGTTCGAGTACCGAGTTTAAATTTCGGGCGCACCGTTTGCAATGACTGTTAGGGGCCGTTCAAGTATTACGTAAGCAGATTTATTACAATTATTTACCTCTTACTCCCCCCCTCACGTGCTTACGTAAACATTGGTACCTATGCATTTTTCCTTTAATTCTGATTTTTTTTATTCATTCATGAGCTTTCATGAGCTTCACGAGCAGCAGTACTTAAATAGGCTTAGGATAGAGGACTTTAACGCACATAATATTCATTGAAACAAACTTTATTGACACAGTATTCAACATTGAGTAAGGTCCTATTACGAACAAAACCAACTTCTTTCGAATTTTTGGTATATGTGGTACGAATACAATCTTCAGTCCATGACACCCGAATCCATGATGCTGACGTAATCACTATCTCGATCCCCCACCCCCCCCCCCCCAAGTCATCAAAAATAAGCAACGCAAAGACCCCCCTACCCCCCTATAGTGCTGCCATACGTCCGGGTTTCCCCGGATTTGTCCTAGTTTACGGGGCGTCCGGGGAGCGTCCGGGCGGGGTTCTATTTGTAGTCCGGGTTTAAAAATTTACGGCAACGCATGAGTGGCCCTAGGTGGTGCAAGTGTCCATGGGCAGCAGTGACCACTTATTATGAGGTAGACCGCTAGCTCTTTTGCCTAGATCAACACAAAAAAGTTGATTTGTGACATTTTTAACTGTTTTTTTATTGGTCTGTCCGGGTTCTGGGCTTCAAAATCCGGGGTTATCACGCGTCTTATCCTGGTTTCCACATTTTAGAGATGGCAGCCCTATGCTTACGTAATACTTGAACGGCCCCTTACGTCAAACACAAAGGTGCGACCTACAAGGCCGCAAGCACGACGTTTTTTCGTTGGAGAGCAAGAGTAATTCGATTACTCTCCTTCGTGCTTCAAACGAAAGAGCTGGAGACAAAAAAATTTTGGCCACACATCCAATGTCCGGTCATTGCAAAAGTTACTTAGCTTCCACGATCGCAGATTGAACTCTCTAACTACTGCGCCAACGAACTCATCTTTATAAATCATCATCATCATCATCAGCCTATTAATGTCCCCATTGCTGGGGCACAGGCCTTCCCTATGGATGAAATAGGGAGATTGGGTCATGACCCACCACGCGGGCCCAGTGCGGATTGGTGGGTACTAACGACTGCAGATGCAGCCGGGACCAACGGCTTAACGTGCCTTCCGAAGCACGGAGGAACTCGAGATAATAAAGTTTTGGTCACCCATCCAATGACCGACCACTGCGAAAGTTGCTTAACTTCAACGATCGCAGCTGATCGCGCTTACCACTTGCGCCATCGAGCTCCTCATAAATTGATCTTTATAAATATTAATGGAGAATTGATGAGATAAACCGTATTTACAGAGCGTGGCAATATATTTATGAATCACCGTGTTAAGAGTTCAGGAGAGATATTTATTAATGTCAGTAAACATGACATAGTTCATGTTCAGTAAAGGTCAAAACCATTATTATCAAGCATTTGCGGGTCAGGTATGACATAATTTAAGGTTGACCTATGGGCATTTTGCGTTATTTTTAACATTCATCAAGTGATAACATAGCTTTTTAGTATAAATTTAATATATTCTTCATAACATTTATAAATATTCAGCCACTAACTAGCGAACGATGGATTTTTTATTATTCCAATTGCCGTTAAGTTTTATTCTGTACAACAGGTAGATAATATGGCGTTTAAATAAGTATTATGGCTGCACCATCGTTTTATCATCACCACCGTTCTTTCTAGAGAGTTATCATGCGAGTATAGGTCAGTCCATTCACGGCGGCCTATAGGCCAGCACTGCACCCCAGACACAGACGGTGCCCCGCGGTCAGCTGCCTGCCGTGCCCGGTAACATTACTCACTTGCCCCCGGTGAGCTCCACGTCGTCGCGCCGCCACTGCACGGTCGGCTATAGGCCAGCACTGCACCCCAGACACAGACGGTGCCCCGCGGTCAGCTGCCTGCCGTGCCCGGTAACATTACTCACTTGCCCCCGGTGAGCTCCACGTCGTCGCGCCGCCACTGCACGGTCGGCTATAGGCCAGCACTGCACCCCAGACACAGACGGTGCCCCGCGGTCAGCTGCCTGCCGTGCCCGGTAACATTACTCACTTGCCCCCGGTGAGCTCCACGTCGTCGCGCCGCCACTGCACGGTCGGCTATAGGCCAGCACTGCACCCCAGACACAGACGGTGCCCCGCGGTCAGCTGCCTGCCGTGCCCGGTAACATTACTCACTTGCCCCCGGTGAGCTCCACGTCGTCGCGCCGCCACTGCACGGTCGGCTATAGGCCAGCACTGCACCCCAGACACAGACGGTGCCCCGCGGTCAGCTGCCTGCCGTGCCCGGTAACATTACTCACTTGCCCCCGGTGAGCTCCACGTCGTCGCGCCGCCACTGCACGGTCGGCTATAGGCCAGCACTGCACCCCAGACACAGACGGTGCCCCGCGGTCAGCTGCCTGCCGTGCCCGGTAACATTACTCACTTGCCCCCGGTGAGCTCCACGTCGTCGCGCCGCCACTGCACGGTCGGCTATAGGCCAGCACTGCACCCCAGACACAGACGGTGCCCCGCGGTCAGCTGCCTGCCGTGCCCGGTAACATTACTCACTTGCCCCCGGTGAGCTCCACGTCGTCGCGCCGCCACTGCACGGTCGGCTATAGGCCAGCACTGCACCCCAGACACAGACGGTGCCCCGCGGTCAGCTGCCTGCCGTGCCCGGTAACATTACTCACTTGCCCCCGGTGAGCTCCACGTCGTCGCGCCGCCACTGCACGGTCGGCTATAGGCCAGCACTGCACCCCAGACACAGACGGTGCCCCGCGGTCAGCTGCCTGCCGTGCCCGGTAACATTACTCACTTGCCCCCGGTGAGCTCCACGTCGTCGCGCCGCCACTGCACGGTCGGCTATAGGCCAGCACTGCACCCCAGACACAGACGGTGCCCCCGCGGTCAGCTGCCTGCCGTGCCCGGTAACATTACTCACTTGCCCCCGGTGAGCTCCACGTCGTCGCGCCGCCACTGCACGGTCGGCTATAGGCCAGCACTGCACCCCAGACACAGACGGTGCCCCGCGGTCAGCTGCCTGCCGTGCCCGGTAACATTACTCACTTGCCCCCGGTGAGCTCCACGTCGTCGCGCCGCCACTGCACGGTCGGCTATAGGCCAGCACTGCACCCCAGACACAGACGGTGCCCCGCGGTCAGCTGCCTGCCGTGCCCGGTAACATTACTCACTTGCCCCCGGTGAGCTCCACGTCGTCGCGCCGCCACTGCACGGTCGGCTATAGGCCAGCACTGCACCCCAGACACAGACGGTGCCCCCGCGGTCAGCTGCCTGCCGTGCCCGGTAACATTACTCACTTGCCCCCGGTGAGCTCCACGTCGTCGCGCCGCCACTGCACGGTCGGCTATAGGCCAGCACTGCACCCCAGACACAGACGGTGCCCCGCGGTCAGCTGCCTGCCGTGCCCGGTAACATTACTCACTTGCCCCCGGTGAGCTCCACGTCGTCGCGCCGCCACTGCACGGTCGGCTATAGGCCAGCACTGCACCCCAGACACAGACGGTGCCCCGCGGTCAGCTGCCTGCCGTGCCCGGTAACATTACTCACTTGCCCCCGGTGAGCTCCACGTCGTCGCGCCGCCACTGCACGGTCGGCTATAGGCCAGCACTGCACCCCAGACACAGACGGTGCCCCGCGGTCAGCTGCCTGCCGTGCCCGGTAACATTACTCACTTGCCCCCGGTGAGCTCCACGTCGTCGCGCCGCCACTGCACGGTCGGCTATAGGCCAGCACTGCACCCCAGACACAGACGGTGCCCCGCGGTCAGCTGCCTGCCGTGCCCGGTAACATTACTCACTTGCCCCCGGTGAGCTCCACGTCGTCGCGCCGCCACTGCACGGTCGGCTATAGGCCAGCACTGCACCCCAGACACAGACGGTGCCCCGCGGTCAGCTGCCTGCCGTGCCCGGTAACATTACTCACTTGCCCCCGGTGAGCTCCACGTCGTCGCGCCGCCACTGCACGGTCGGCTATAGGCCAGCACTGCACCCCAGACACAGACGGTGCCCCGCGGTCAGCTGCCTGCCGTGCCCGGTAACATTACTCACTTGCCCCCGGTGAGCTCCACGTCGTCGCGCCGCCACTGCACGGTCGGCTATAGGCCAGCACTGCACCCCAGACACAGACGGTGCCCCGCGGTCAGCTGCCTGCCGTGCCCGGTAACATTACTCACTTGCCCCCGGTGAGCTCCACGTCGTCGCGCCGCCACTGCACGGTCGGCTATAGGCCAGCACTGCACCCCAGACACAGACGGTGCCCCGCGGTCAGCTGCCTGCCGTGCCCGGTAACATTACTCACTTGCCCCCGGTGAGCTCCACGTCGTCGCGCCGCCACTGCACGGTCGGCTTGGGCGCACCGAACACGCGGCACTTCATCACCGCCTCCGAGCCGTCCACCTTCGTCAGGTTCTCTGGTCCCTCCTTTATTTCAGGAGGGATAGCTAAAAATTAAGCCAGAAAACTAATTAATCTCTTGTCTAATGTGGTTAACGTTACGTTAATTCTATTATCTGCTCCATTATAAACATCATATTTATGACAGACAGACGTCCTGTCTACACGTCTTTAATTTGAAAATTTGACACTGCGATGGTAGCGCCGTCTGTCGGATCCAATGTAAAACATTCCAAAATCAACAACTACTAATAAATTAAAAATTAATTAAAAAAACATTGTCCAGCGGACAAAATTGTGAATCTAAACCATTCTCAGATCCCCTTGAACACACACAAAAAATTTCATCAAAATCGGTCCAGTCGTTTAAGAGAAGTTCAGTGACATACACACTCACAGAAGAATTATATATATAAAGATATATATTTGATCTTCAGTATTTAAAAGCGGACGCGAGCTAAGAGACTTTTGATAGGCATTTGAAAAAACTGATGTTGTCACGCATTGGCATGGCAAAAATCTAGGGAAGAATCAGTCAAGAACAAACAAAATATATGTATGGAAAAAACATCGCCCGCCTCCCCCTCTTAAGAAGAATCTCATTGCTAATTTGTCTCTTGTAAATAAATAATATATACTAATAATAAACTAAATATTATGAATGGGCTGTTGCTCAGCATGAACATATTAAAGTTTATATCCTTGTTTTTTTTTGTGTGATAATGAATAGAATTTTATGTACTTTTGTATTTGTCACCTGTTTGTACATCAAATAAATAAATTTGAGAAAGAAAAACTTTCTTATCCCTTCTACTAAAGCACATTTCGCACACGGAGGAGTTCAAGATTTTAGCAAAATTAAAGTTCATTTGGAGAAGGAGTTTAGAAATCAATTTTGTTTTGTTTAATAATTCTTTAAGTACACTTAATTAGTAAAATAGATTTTATATCGCTCGCTACCATGCCATTAAAAAACAGTAACTCTTTGATAGTAACGCTTAATCCTCCTTATTTGGAAAATATGGACTACAGTTAGGCCCGTATTACAGAATGACAACTAAGTGTTGATCTTTACTTGAGTACAGTTAGAAAGGGATGTCGCTATGTGCTATATATAGCGACATCCCTTTCTAACTATGCGCAAGACTAGATCAATCACTGAGAATCTTTCTATAATACGGGCCTTAGTCTTAGTTTAACCTATTGTTGTCCCAGTCTTCTTTTTAGCGAACGAAAAAAGTGACAGCATCAGTTTAAGTTCAGGATTATAGTTAAACTATAGTCCATCTTTTGTAATAAGGCAACAAAGGTCAAATTTCGGTCAATAGGCGAACTCAATTTCAATGTATAGATTTTCCATAAACACTAACCCAATTAAGGATGAAAGGATAAATATAATAAAATTAAGAACTAATCAAGAATTAAAGAACGAGGTTAAAGATTAACATTAATAATCATAAACAATATGGAGTCTACAAGTAGTACATTGACCCGGTAGAGAATCAAATCCAGGACGACGGAAGCAGATGATAGCTTAAGATAACCTAAGTTATTACTTGAAGTAGGTATCTCATGTAACTAAATAAAAAAATGGGTGCGTGTACTTATGTAGGCGCGTGAGAAGTTATCCTTCTTTGGCATCGTTTAAAATTAGTTTTTAATTGCATGCAAATAATTAATTACAATAAATTAATAAAAAGTCTGGAAAAGGACACAGTCAATAAAGTTCAGTTTTAATTTGAAAAATTAAATAAATAATCAAAATATTCAATTAAAATCGCTACTGAATATAATTTATTAGAACATATGTGATTTGCACTTGTATGAAACTCAAACACGTATTCCGAATATACAAACTAGAAACATGTGGATAAATATTATAAATATAACTGTTACTTTATTACAAAAAATAAAGATGTGGTTTTTGGTTCTACTACACCAATGGTCAAGAGATGGCGCTGTAGTCTCCTGAATCGCGCTTTGGTTCCGTTGTTCCAGATTAATAAATACTTTTGATAGGCCTTCACAATGCAGTCGTTAGCACCCACTAAAGAGAGATTCTATTTCTATTTTGTTGGTAGATTTTCTTAATGTGCGCGCGCATCTTAAAATTTCACTCTCATCATTTTTTCATAACGCGCCTAAAGAAGTATAACTTCAAAAATAACACACTTTCATAGCTAGAGTGTGTACTGTGTGACACTTCTATAATTACAGGATATGTGAACTGGTAAATTTTAGTGGTCAACGGTACTGGCTCGGCGCCGGCGACGTCATACGGCGGACGTGAGTGCAGGAGCTCAATTTTAGAATCACTCGCCTTGCGTCGAACGCTCGATTTATACTAATTTTGATTCGACATAATAAATTCCGTATTTTTGAACCGCTCGACGTCAACGAACGGTCTCAACCACTCGTTGCGCGTTGGCGAATGATGGAGGCGAATGGTAGAATAATTGTTAAAGTTATGTTTGGTATTTTCAAGATTTTTCGTCAATCTTTCTAAAATCCAGATAAGATGACGATTTGTTGCGACGTTTTGATCTTTTCTAACAAAAAAGGCAAAAGATTAAATAACCTGTTATTGAGAATTATACGTTTATTTTTACACAGCGGTAATGACTGCTTTTTATCTCTTTCATAAAATTAATAAATATAAATATTTTGAGAAAAGTTATACTAGAAAAAAATCCACGCGGACCAGGCAGAGGACGGAACTCGAACCCGCATCCTACGCAATCTGGGCGAATTGCACTGACCAATTATGCTACCACGGCCTTGATGGCCGCGTCAAAATTTTCCTAGCCTTAAGCTGCAAGGCAGCGCCATCTCTTCGCATTGTAGGTAACCCACAATGTCAAATGAATACTTTTTCAAGTATTAAACGTTTGAAAGGAGAAATAGCAATAGCAAAGAAGTAAAACTTTTCTTTAGATTTAAACATCTAGCAGTTAAATGCTTAAAAAAATAAAAACAACTATAAATATTTTGTATTAAACTGGTAACACTAGACGGAAAATCAGTATCATGCGGCTTGGAAGTCGAAAGTGACTTAAGTCGCATTCGACGACGCTATGTCAGGCGAGCGAATCAGAAATAGAACTCCTGGACGGACTGATCAGTTGCTATAATTTTTAATTATGAACTTACACAGTGTATGAATCTATTCAAAAATTAACAGCGAGCCATCGTAACCCACTGGAAGTGGCTGACACAGCAGTAAACTTCACAGTTCACCCGATTGTGATATTTCAGTGGAGTGTACACTAAAGCCAATAAATCTCGTAAAAGAGCACCATTTTTATGAAATAGGTTCAACCATGACATTTTTAATTGTTTCTATTTGATTCTATTTCATTCCATTTGTAATGCTCAAATTATATAAGATTACTAGCTGACCCAGCGTACTTCGTATTGCTTACAATAATTTGGAAGAAATGATAAACGACGAACGTCAAATGTTTGACAGGAATATACACATAGCCATCTGTCGGATCCAATGTAAAACATTCCAAAATCAACAACTACTAATAAATTAAAAATTAATTAAAAAACCATTGTCCAGCGGACAAAATTGTGAATCTAAACCATTCTCAGATCCCCTTGAACACACACAAAAAATTTCATCAAAATCGGTCCAGTCGTTTAAGAGAAGTTCAGTGACATACACACTCACAGAAGAATTATATATATAAAGATTTGACATATTTTGAATGGGTATTGTATTTTATCTTATTGACATATTATTTTTATATTATAACATTACATTAAATTTGTATTTGCATGCCAGACTTATATGGCAAAACATATGCACATTGTTTATTTTGTACCAACTCATAATACCGTGTTATAAAGCAAATAAATAAATAATTATTATTATAAAGTTGCCACTGCGATTACATGTTTTGTAGTCGGCATGCGATAAAATTTTATTTTTTAATTTTATCTTTTATTATGTTTGATTCTACAATTTAAACGGTAAGATTTGTTGCACATGTCAATGGGTAGCGGTTGTCACTTCTAACCATCATGTATGCCACACACCTCTATAATTCGGTATAAAATACTTCGACCCAGAAGCTATTTCATCACCATTATGGTTACAGTCACAGAACAGAAAAGTCTCTTTTTTCTGTTCTGGGATACAGTAACCTTCTTTTTTTTTTCAACACACACCAATTACCCAATTAGCCTAGCCCCAAAGTAAGTACTGTAAGGCTAGTGTTATGGGATACTAGGGTAACGGATAGAATACATATATAAGTATATTTATATAGAAATACATATTAAACATCCATGACTGGAGTACAAATGCTCGTATTCATCACACAAACATCTGCCCCCACCGGGATTCGAACCCGGGACCTCTCGAGTCGGCGACACCATGAAACCCGGCGTACAAACCACTCGACCACGGAGGTCGTCAACTATGCTATCGAGAGCCCCTAAGAGTGAACAGCAATAGTTTCCTGGACTGTCAGTCTTATCACAAACGCTACAGGTATAAATTAACCATCTATAATTTATCATCAAGAGAATTCGCGTTGATAAGAGCAGTCACCCAAAAGAGAAAGACCAATATTATTTTATCCGCACATATTAAATTTATACAAAGTGTAAGTGAAAGCTAGTGAAATGAGTACGATTGGTAAGTAAGTAATATCCGGATGTGTGTATATTATTTTAAGCGTGGGCAAGTGGAGCGAGCATCTCGCCGGGCCGTGAGGATGTGCCCAATAGACGCCGTCTATGAGCTCTCAAAAACATTGTCAACAAACCCACCTAAAAGTTAAGTAAAAGGAAAAATACTCACTAGAATCTATATATATAAAACTCAAAGGTGACTGACTGACATAGTGATCTATCAACGCACAGCCCAAACCACTAGATGGATCGGGCTGAAATTTGGCATGCAGGTAGATGTTATGACGTAGGCATCCGCTAAGAAAGGATTTTGATCAATTCTACCCCCAAGGGGATAAAATAGGGAATGAAAGTTTGTATGAAACTTTGTCAATTTTAAACCGATCGGGCTGATACTTTGCAT